GCCGTATGTTCACTTTTAGTATGGTTTCCACGCAATCCTTTATAAATGAGACCCCTGGTCTTGCATGTTTTAAAGGTTTCTCTGCTCCAGCACATGTGATTTGAATAAACTGGTGACTTCTGCAGAACTTGAAGAGGTAATTTTCTGTGAATCAGGTGTGTTGGAGCAGAAAAACAAGTCAAACATCGAGGACAGAGACCCTCCAGAACCAGGACTGGATGCCTCTGGTTTAAATGAAGTTTCTGTGAAAGGACAGAGTCTGTCCTCTATGAAAGCGTTTGATTCTCCTGATGGATTCTGACACACAGGGTCGTCGGTGTGTGCTCAAAGACTGCTGCAAGATCTTAGACAACACTGTGCTTCCACCTGAGACAGTAGTGCCACCTTTCACAGTCTTCTCCGGATGTCCAGGTCAGGACACACACACACACACACACACACACACGCACACACAAATGAGGACCTTTCTGACTGCTCTGTGTTGTTTGTAACTTTTGTCTCTCTGTCAGGTTTGTTTTCAGGAGAGCTGCCTGAGTGCACACAGGACCTGATGATTGACGTGACCAAGAGCTACTACCAGAAGTTTCTGCCCCTCAGTCAGATCTGAGTCACYCTCCTGAACCCTGACCCAGCTCCCGTCTAGTCAAATGCTTCATTTGGACTGTGATGAAAAATCATTTTGTTTTTGACTAACGAAGTGAAAACACACAGGAAATAAAGTGACAGCTCGAACGGTTGCAGCTCAGCTTTTGAATCTAAAAGTCTTTTCAAACATTATATCATTTGTTTATTTCTGACCTTTTAGCTCTTAAGCTGCAGTCCCAGGTGAAGATAAAAAAGGTGGAGGAGCAAAAAAAAGATGCTTAAACACTTTTGGACCGAACGAGTAGCAACAAATTCTTCAGCAGTAATTTCTGTACATGTTTTACACCTGCTGAAGAATTAAATGTAGTTTTGTTTTAAAATGTTMGGCTTTTTCACTAATTGTATCTGARTATATAAGTATTTAATTTGTTGCAGATTGTTTTCAAGCTTCTGTTAATGGGATGATGTTGCAGTACAGATGCTGATATTAAAAGAATATTAATGAACAAAAATGGATTAAAATTGTCTCATGAATCACAAGGATTTCTGCTGGATTATATTTACATTTTGTAAATATTTATATTTTGGAAGCATTGGATCAAATGCAGTTTTATTTTGCTTTCACTTTGTGTTTAAACTATGCAGAAGATAAACAAGATGCAGAATTCAAACTATGCAGAAGATAAACAAGATGCAGAATTCAAGTGTTTGTGCAAGATTTGTTAAGATATACTTACAGATGTTTACTGGTCTGATTAACTGATATCAGAACTTTCAGACCTCAAAAAAGTTTTTTTTTTTTTTGGCAAATTTCCTTGTGGAATTCCTAAATGCCCATTATCTTTAATAATAGGAAAAAGTCTGGAAACACAAATGTTGTTCCAGCCCTGGAAAATACTAAACAAATGTGATGCGTAAATAATGCACAGGAACAGTTATACAGTCCTCTGACGCCCACTAGTGGTTAACGAGAATACAGACGAAAAAAAGACCAAACTTTGCACTTTTTTTTCTTCCCAAAAACACACTAAACAGATTGGTTTTAACGACCATAAATTCTTTAGATCAACAGTTTTTCTAACCAACTAAAAGTTTAAAAAACACCAAAATGGAGTAGTTATTGTTTGGACCTTAAACGAAATTATCCCAAAAAAAAATTAAACTGGACTCATTGACTTCCAACTCAACGGTTTTATTTATTTTACAATGTGAACCACATACATTATACCAACAATCAGTTGTTAAGGATATAGATTAGCCATTTYTTGTTTTGTTTGACAAAGTAGACTGAAGAAACGGCCGGTGGTACGTTGGCTCCAGAGACACGTGGCAAGAGTCGGCCTTATTGAAATCCTGTCGAACGCCGTGGCTGGCTGAGGGATGACAAAACAAACAAACAAAAACAAAAGTGCCACCTTTTCTGTAACCACACTAACACCAGTGGGGGACAATGGCTGCAGACTGGACAGGAGTTAGGACAGAGACGGTTCGTCCTGTTGGACAACTTTGTAATCAAACATCAAGATTCTGATTTCTGCATGTGATCGGAGCACATCCTCACTTTAAATAACTAAACAAAGCTGCTCCAAGTCTTTCTTTTATGCAAAGACAATTGAAAAAGCATCCACTTGTTTTTTTTTTTCCATTCATTTTCCTGCGTTGTTTTTGTATCGAGTGAACTGAAACGTTACTTTTTTTTTCTTTGCAGAAACATTGAATCATTCCGTTGGATTTTTCACTTTACTCACAATGACTAGTTTATCTCGTCTCATTGTGTTTCTCTGGGTGCAGAGCTACATTCTGAATTACTGACAAATCTCTACTTCTGTTTTGTGAACATGAGATTAAAAATGGAAAGTTTGAAATTAGAGACCAAACTGTAACAGCAGGGCAAAGCTGGCAAGCTTTACACAACTAAAGATAAAACTTTAGACAACAAAAATAATGTTAACTGGCACAGGCAGATCAACAAATGGGGGGAAAAATAAGAGACATTAACAAACCATGGGCTTTAACAGAGAACTTACTACTGCATGTGTTATTGGAATTATTACTATAATTGTTTTTTGTATTTATCTAAACTCAAGGAATTGGTTTTAAATCCTTTACCATCATCTGTTTCCTTCTAATAAACTTTGAAAGACACAAAAAGAAAAATTCATCTGAGATCAGTCCAACTAATCTGTGCCAAATATGCCCAAATTTACATATTTATTGTGGCAGTGTCTTCAACACTAATAAATTAAATATGTTCCCAAAAATCAACGTTCTGCACCAAAATAATGAAGTTTTACTCAATATAAACACACACACATGTCCCTTTCACATTAAACTTTGAGATTATCTTGTGTGCTGGGTGGGCAGGTTTGGCCAATACATTTATTTTTTCTTCCCAGCACTGATTCCCCAATAAATTATATAATCTGTCTGAATAAAATTAATTCAAAGGACTGAATTTCAAAGGAGCACAACGTAACAAAGAAAAAAATGCTCCACGGCTTTGACCAAATGTTATTAAACAGTTACTGAAAAGTGTTTTTCTTTTTTTGTTGTTTTACTTTCTTCTAAAAGCACCTAAATACAAGCGGGCCTCGTTCAGGGCCGGACGAGCCGAATACGATGGAAGAGCCGATTTGTTTGCATGAAGTTAAAGGTGAAAAGCTAAGTGCAAGAAGAAAAGAAAAAAAAACTTATTGCAACTCATCAGAATCGTCGCACGACCACGTAAAAGCAGCAGCTGCTTTCATAAGACGGAGGGAGAGGGGGGCGTCACAGTCAGCGAGTGGATTGGTTGAGTGAARGTACACACAAAAACTCCTGAAACAACAACAAAAAGAAAGAAAAGCAAAGGATGCTCGGACTTGTCCTGCTGCACGGAGGCAACCTGCCTAGAAGTTTAACACTGGTGGGTGAATACAACAAAAAGATAAAAGAAGCTGAGTGGTGCGCAGACAATTTGTCTGAGTTCCTGGTGGTTGTCGGTGCKGTCCACCCAGCAGACAGATGTGTAACGGGTCACACCTGGCTCTTGGCGCCGGGTGAATCAGCTCCACCTCTCAGAGCTGCGAGGATGAAGTAACGGCAAACAAAACAGGTTTGTCTTATGAAGGGCCGAGTCTTTGACAAAGATGGGTCCAACGTTTGGCGAACAAAACTCCATCTGCTGCGGGAAGCTGCTTGATCATGGCCCTAACTTCCTTATTAAGGTGGCAGGTGAGGATGAGTGAGGTCCAGGGAGAGGAAGGGCACCGATGAGTCACACAGTGAAAACATCTGTGTCGTCCCCTTTTTGCATCGTGGAGGTCGGAGAAATGCACAATGTCGTCCAAACCTTCCACTATCTCTCACGCGCGCGCACACACACACTTCTGATTGTAGATTGTACGTCTAGTGTTAGGAAAGGACAAAGAAAAGAATCCATGACTTTATCTTCAGCCCGTGRGCCTGAAAGTCTGTCTGAACACCCTCCTCCCGGCCTCCACTCTGAAGACCCCCCCACCCCCCCACATCAGATCATCCGGTTGCGTTTGTGCGTGGGGGAGTCCGTGATGACATCAGTACATTGGGTGGAGTTACGTTTCCTGGTCCCTCCCCCTCCGGCGGAGGCYGAGCCTGTGGGGTCCAGATGTCGCGCCATCTCCTCTGAGATGAAAGTGTTCAGGTCGACATCTTGGAGCCCGTTGCGCCTGCTGCGGCACACCGGCCCGGAGCCGGAGGAACTTCCTCCGCCCGTGTTGCTGCCGCCGCCGCTCACATGTGTGGGAGAGCTGGGAGGGCCGGAGCGCACACTGATGCTCGCCATTGCGCCACTCAGACCTGAGGAGGGACAAACAGATCAGCTGAGTAAACCATTTCATACAAGGTTATGAAACAGATTTATTAATGAGTTTTGATAAATTATTTTTATTTGCGTTTAGTCGACATAAATCTAAGGCTTTTACATGAGCCCAGCTCCAGTTTAGCCCTTTAACATTCTGCTATTTTTAGCTTTTTTTCATCTAATTAACATAAAAAACACGAACAAACAAATGTGAATACACAAAATACAACCATTTTTAATGTTTTGGTTTAGAACAAGCATATGTACCATTTTAATAATAGAAGAGCAAATGTATTTCAGTTAAGTCTTTTACAAGGAAAGCAAAGATCATCTAAAGCTGGGGTTCTCAAGCCATTTTGGTCTGGGGACCCCTTACAATGGCAAAAAAATTTCCAGGGACCCCATCATAAATCCCATGCTGTTTTAAAAGAATTTATTCTCATTTCAACCCCTAAATGCCATGGGAATATATATTTTATTAAGTTTATTGTGTTTGTTTTAGTAGTTCATTGTTCTCCATGCACTTTTAAAAACAAAAACCAAATTAACATTTTAGTAAAAAATTGAGGATCCCCAAGATACCTCTTGTGGACCCCTGGGGGTCCAGGGACCCCAGTTTGAGAACCTCTGATCTAAAGGACAAAACAAGAAAATGAAAATTGCACTGGTTGAGGCTGAGTCTTCCTCAAGACATCAGGTAAGAGGTAAAAATGAAAAAATGCAAAACACGTAAACAAAGCTTTACCTCATGTCAAGAAAAGGACTGAATCAGAGGAAAACTTGTTTCAAACTTTTTTTTCCAAACAGAAAAAGCGTGCATTCAGGATTAGTTCAAAACATGTGCTTATAGCAACTTAAAGAACCCCAGAAAGAAAACAGAGKAGGAAACAAAGCAAGAAAACTAAGAATAATTCCTCTTCAACTTGAGATTTTTAAGGTACCATCTTTTCTTGATAAAACACAAAATAACTTTGTCTTACCTGAGTGTTTGATGTTTTAACATMTATTTACTAAATAATCCCTACATACAGCGGTTAAAATAAGTATTGAACACGTCACCATTTTTCTCAGTAAATATATTACTAGAGGTGCTAATGACATGAAATTTTTATCAGATGTCGGTAACAACCCAAGTGATCCATACATACAAAGAAATCAAAATAAACGTACAGAAATGAAGTTATTTGTAATAATGTGGAATGGCACAGGGAAAAAGTATTGAACACACTTACTGAAATTTATCTAATACTTTGTACAAAAGCCTTTGTTGTCAATGACAGCTTCAAGACACCTCCTGTATGGAGAAACTAGTGGCATGCATTGCTCAGGTGTGATTTTGGCCCATTCTTCCACAAACAGTCTTCAAATCTTGAAGGTTTCMTGGACCTCTTCTATGAACTCTGATCTTTAGTTCTTTCCATAGATTTTCTGTTGGATTCAGGTCAGGTGATTGGCTGGGCCATTCCAGCAGCTTTAGTTTCTTTCTCTGAAACCAACTGAGAGTTTCCTTGGCTTTGTGTTTGGGGTCATTGTCTTGCTGAAATGTCCAGCCARGTTTCATCTTCATCATCCTGGTAGATGGAAGCAGATTTTTATCAAGAATGTCTCTGTACATTTTTCCATTCATCCTTCCTTCAATTATTTGAAGTTTGCCAGTATCATACGCTGAAAAACAGCCCCACACCATGATGTTCCCCCCTCCAAACTTCACTGTTGGTATGGTGTTTTTGGGCTGATGTGCAGTGCCATTTGACCTCCAAACATGATGTGTATTCTGGCATCCAAACAGTTCAGTTTTGGTCTCATCTGACCAGACTATATTCTCCCAGTATTACACAGGCTTGTCTAAATGTTGTGCAGCAAACTTTAAAGGAGCTTCAKCACGCTCTTTCTTCAGCAGTGGAGTCTTGCGTGGTGAGCGTGCATACAGGCCATGGTGGTTCAGTGCATTACTTGTTGTTTTCTTTGAAACAAACGTACCTGCTAATTCCAGGTCTMTCTGAAGCTCTCCACAAGTGGTCCTTGGCTCTTGGACAACTCCTCTGATAATTCTTTTCACTCCTCTGTCAGAAATCTTGTGAGGAGCACCTGGTCGTGGTCGGTTTATGGTGAAATAATGTTCTTTCCACTTCTGAATTATGGCCCCAACAGTGCTCACTGGAACCTTCAGAAGTTTAGACATTCTTCTGTAACCGATGCCATCATTATGCTTTGCAACAATAAGYTTGTGAAGGTCTTGAGAGAGCTCTTTACTTTTACCCATCATTAGATGGTTCTTGTGTGATACCTGGTCATCATCTGGGACTGAACCAGCTGATATTAACTTGCACTGAGAAGGGGCAGGCTTGCTTTCTAATTACTGAGAGAGTTCAGCTGGTGTCTTGGCTTTCCATGCCTTTTTACACCTCCCTTTCTTCATGTGTTCAATACTTTTTCCCTGTGCCATTCCACATGATTACAAATAACTTCATTTCTGGACATTTATGGTTTGATTTCTTTGTATGTATGGATCACTTGGGTTGTCACCAACATCTGGTGAAAATTTCATGTCATTAGCACCTCTAGTAATATATTTACTGAGAAAAATGTTGACGTGTTCAATACTTATTTTACCCGCTGTACAAACATCACCTGTGAAAGATAAGACACACCTAAACAACCTGTTCTGTAAATAAAGCCTCAAAATACCCAACCTTATTCTCAGAAGCAGCTTTGATATTACTTTGCACAACAGAAAAATCACCCTTATTGTACTGGATCAGAAATGCATTTATCAAATGAAAATATTTATTTCTTTTAATGTAATCCATAATCTTCTTCATTGGCTAAAACTGGCACGCCCAAATAACTTATCTCTGAGCCACATGAGGCGGAGGTACGGGATAAAGGATGAGCGTCTACAAAAACAGAGTCACCTGATCACACGATACACCACACTGAGTTTAAACCTGGACTTCTGTGGTAGTCAAAAACAGAACTAGATTTATCTACCTAAGACTCCTGATCGATTCTTTGACCAATCATCTGTCACCAAATATCAGTAACCTTTAGAATAAGCTCAGGATCCATGGTGGTGCAGCCTGAGATCTTTCTGTGTGGAGTTTGTGTGTTCTCACTGTGCATGTGTGGGTTTTCTCCAGATACTCCAGTTTCCTCCCACAGACCAAACACACACATTAGCTTCACTGGTAACTCTAAACTGTCCTTGGATGCAATTTTGTCCATATGATGAAGGTGTCCTGCATGTACCCCGCCTCTCACACAGTAACTGCTGGACATGGCCACCAGCGATCCCCACACAGGTAGAGAACATGGATGGACTGATAGAATAAGCTTGACCACAGCAAATATTTGAGGCAGTAGTGGTTTTTTTTTTCACAAAGACCAGTAGTAACACCATTTTGTGTCCCACACTCCACCTCCCACATACAAACAGATCTCCAGCACATTGCAGTGAGTCAAGCAAAGACTTGACTTTCCTTACCGTGAAGTGCTATGGCCTCCCTGAAGGGCTGAAGGTCTGTTTCCACAGATGAGCCCGTCTCAGCTGGTGAATTAGCTCGACTGGGGGCCACCATGGCCAACCGAGAGCTGGTCCTGCTACTTCTGTGTGGTGGRGCTTTGCCGCACAGGAAGCTGATCAGATCCTCCCTACGAATGGTTCTTCTGCGCTTTTTCACCCAGGCCAACATGTCCTGCAATCAAATCAGGTGTTCGATTAAACACAGAGAAACTCTTAAACTCACCACCTGCTGTTGTGCAAACATAGCGTTTTTCTGAAAGCACATGTTGCCTGCATGACAAACAAACACGACCAGGTGCCACAAACGAAGCAAGTACAAGACACACCTTGTTTCGGCGTTGGTGACCTATCTGGATCCCTCGATCAAAACTTCTCTGATGGGCCTCCACACTCTCTGAAGAAAATATCAAAAACATTTGTCAGCCACAATAAAGTTACTAAACAGCTAACGGCCCACCTAAAGACCAGCACGGCAAATTAGCCTTGGCTATAAATGTTTTAGCGCACGGCACATTCAAACAACCAATAAAGGAAATGGATGCAGTATGTTCTGTGCACGCTCAGAGCAGAGCAGCAAATGTACAAACTGCACTTAAGTCCAGCGCTGATTGCTGCGAGGAGGGTGATATATGAGGTAGTTTGTTTCAGCTGCAGCTTGAATTCTGAGAGCCAGAGTATCATAAAGATAAAWATCTACGTAAGGCTGCAGAGTCTCCAGACACACATGGCCCTATAGGAGGTCATTTAGCTCCAATTATCCTATATTAAACATCTTATTGTTCCATATTTTCCTAACAGAGCACTTCGCTCTCAGACTGCAGGTGTACTTGTGGTTCCTGGAGTTTCTAAAAGTAGAATGGGAGGCAGAGCTTTCAGTTATCAAGCTCCTCTCTTGTGGAACCAACTTCCAGTTAATGTCAATGAGACCGACACTCTGTCTACTTTTAAGATTTGACTGAAGACTTTCCTTTTTGATAAATCTTATAATTAAGAGTTGTTTTCCTGAGTTATTCTTTAGTCCTGCTGTTATAGGTTTAAGACTGCTGGAGCACAAACTGACCCAATATCCTCACTCTGCCGCTGTTTTTAYGTCTCTCTTCTCTACATGTTTGTTGTAATTATTTCTATCAACATCATATCTTCCATATTTTCCATAACACTCTCTTCTAGAGGAAAATACATCTGGACCAGCCCTTCTGTGTCTCTTTCCTGTCCCSCAAACCCAGCCTGACTGAGGCAGATGGCCGGCCGTCCTGAGCCTGGTTCTGCTGCAGATTTCTTCCAGTTAAAATTATGTTTTTCCTTTCCACTGTTGTTCAGGATTGGAGACTATGACAAAACGATTCAACGCAATTTGCTGTCTTTTTTCGATTGTTTTCTCTACAGTGCCCTGAGACGATGATTATTTTGACTTGGTGCWATAWAAATAAACTGAAMTGAATTTAATTGACGGTAAATGTTCTGAACTTGTGTAGTGCTTTATCAAGTTCCTACAGACTCCAAAACATGTCACACTACAGTCATTCACCCATTCATACGCACTGATGATGGTAAGCTACACTGTATTAGATGAACCGAATTAGATGTACAGTACACTACTACTTTAGATCCTCCCTATTAACAAGCTATTTTTTTTCTAATGCATCTGTGATTGTTACTGTTTATTTAAAAACAACAAKAAAAAAAACTATTGGCACTTATTTATCCTCTTTTACACCGCGCCCCTTATGAGGTACATACCATATAACTAAGGCATATCGCTATAATCAATTTTCAGCACTAGTGTGAAACAATTCAAAAGCACAAGGGCAAAATGAAGCAGGATGGTTACCTTTGTAAAGGTTTGTTACTGCTGTAGCAGCGTTCTGAAATGGGACCCACAGTGACAGGCCCTGCTGGTGGCATACCCTGTCTGTGGGGGAGAAAAAGAAATATATTTAGTTTTATTCAGTAGGGAAAAAAACACAGCCTGCTCCTGTAGTACAGACACTACCAGAGCACAGCAATGGGGTTTAAGTGCATTACATTTTGAAACGCCATTTTGTCTCGGTTCTATTACTGCAAAGAGAGAGGGTGGCATAAAAATAACTATCAGCAAGCACTAGATGGCCAACTTGGCTCTGCAGACTTCAGCGAGAAAAGCACCGAACTTAACTGCACCCCCCAAAAAAACAACAGAACATACAAGCCGAGATTATCAGCCTGTGTGGACGGGGAAAACTGGACTACGACCAAAGCAAAAACAAGACTAGAGACGCAGATATTTCAATATCCTCGCCATCTTGTGATAACCTTTGTAAAAAAAAAGTTCCTTACAGGCGCTTACAATCAGCTGCAAAACTTGTGATTATTTAGGATTATACTTTTTAATGACACTTTTAAAACKCTTGGAACTTGATGGTAAAACTGACAGCACATGAGGCACTGTCAGCTGGGAATGTGGCGTAGCTAACTGTTGTTACCAACGCCATTTTGTAACTAGTTTGCTAAGATTACGTTAGCCCCGGACCCAACTTGCCGTCATATGTTGAAAAAGAAAAGTATTCAGTGTGACTTGTTGCTGAGGTTTTCTGGGGCTATAATCACTTAGCTGTCCCGTCAAAATTAGTGTAGTTCCCCCCTCATCTCTCTGCATTAAAGCCAAGACAGATGAATTTATCAGGGAAAAGTCAGCTGAGAACGATGCGTTCCAGGTGTTCTGCCGAAAAAAACAGCCCTGTTCTGCAAAGAGCTTTTCAAATCAATTTTAATCTAAAACAAATTGGYTAAGAGTCAAACATGGCAAACAGTTTGGAGATTTCTTTACACTACTATTAGAAAAACATTCTGTAATATTTATTTTGTTTTTAAATAAAAACTAAGTGCTAAGCTTTTTTTGCAGCAGGGTGTTCGTTTTTCGGCACAACACCGATACCGGCAAGCTAGCTGGCTAAACWAGCTAGCTAGCGCCGAGCCAAAGCTAATGTAAATTCACACAGTATACTGTAGATACGTAGCCAGAATGCTAACAAACTAGCCAGTGCCACAAAGGTAAATTAATGTGTTGTTGGACAAACGAGACAGAGAGAACTGCTTTCCACCTTTGTATAACTGTGCCACAGCGGTGGCGGAGTTCTGGAAAAGATGCCAGAGTTTATCCTGATCGTTGTCCGGCTCCTCTTCGCCTGGCTCCATCTGCTCCGCTTCGGCCAAACACTGCCGCTCCCATTTTGAGAACCAGTGCTCCGGTCCGTGTTCCTGTATTTCCGAGTCTCCGTCTTCCTTCTTATCCTCCATTTAATGCGCCAAAAACTCGAAGGAAATTCACTTCTATTATCCGAATTGTGTTTATATTTACACCTTATTCAGAGTTATATACGTAGAGCCATAAATACTGTTATATTTTCAGCTTTTTCGTTATACCAATACTGCGTCGCTACCTCTCCCGACCGCCAGAGAAGATAAGCCTYGCTAACTATTTCGTGCTAGTTGCCGACGTCGGAATATATACAAGGCAGACTATCGTGTATATACTTAATCCCACCCTTCAATATAGACACCAACAGCGATTGGTCACATTAACAGTGTAGGCGGGTCTTAGATCGTTACTCGGTGCGTAATTGGTTCACAGACACGTCCATCTTAGAGCTGACAAAAAAGGACTCTTGTCTTAAAAAGCTCAAAAGTTTTAGTTTTGTTGCGAAGTCGCGAAATATATTATAACATAACACATGTTTATTTTTAAAGCAAATATATGTGTTTAATATACTATATTATAAAAATTAATTACATTATTTAAATAAATAAACATGGAAAAAAAGTTTGTTGCTCAAATGTTCTACGAATTTTTTGTTGCTTTTTTTTTTTTCAAACCACCTGACTAAAAATGCATGGTTTATTAAACAAGTGTTGCTGGACAGAATGGTCTCCTAGCCTACATAGTGATGGATGGGAAAAGCGTTTTGGTTGAAATAATAATAATAATACTGGCAGGATATAATTCAGGTAATATGGCCATAGGCTACTATGATCTAGTGTCCTTCCACAGAGTTCTGCAATCTTTGAAATCAGCAGAGCCATGTGCCCCTAAAATGTGTCTGACTGTCAGGAGCCCCAAACACACTGTGATTATCAKCTGGTGGCCTGTGGGCCACTTTAAGTTTGTTGGAAAGCTGCTTTTCTGGTCATTGGGGGTGACATTATAAATTTAAAACTAAATAATGAATTTTAACATTTACTGATATTTTGACATTTTACAGAAGAGAAGAGAAGAGAAGAGAAGAACAAAGAAAGTTGGTATGGATATTAAGAAAGCATAAGAAGGAATATTATACTGATTTATTAGATAAAAGTAAAAGTGATATGAAAGAAACATGGTGACTAATGAATAGTGTTCTGAAAAGTCATGAATTAAATTCAGGTATTTCACAATATTTTGTAAAGGATGGAAATGAAGTACATGATCAGAATGAAATTGCAAATGGATTTTAATCATTATTTTGTTAATGTTGGCCTAAGTCTTGCAGATAAAATACCAAAAGTAGAAAAAAATATGAGTCATACAGTTACGGGTTGTTTTCTTGATGGAACTGACKAAGAAGAAATAATGAATATTGTAAAAAAAAATCTTGCAGATAAAAGATCAAAGGATTGTGTGGACATGGACATGATGTTTGTCAAGGAAATAATGGGTTATGTTACTGAACCATTTACATATACAGTACATGTAATTTATCTTTTTCAACCGGTGTATTTCCAGACAACATGAAAATAGCTAAGGTAGTCCCTCTTTATAAGAATGGTGAGAAATGTATGTTTAACAATTACAGACTAATATCCTTGTTACCACAGTTTTCAAAGATTTTGGAGAAATTGTTTGTGAACAGATTAGATAAATTTATTGCTAAACAAAACATTCTAAGTAGCAGTCCGTTTGGGTTTAGAGCTAATAATTCAATATCAATGGCACTCATGGAACTGATGGAACAAATAAACAGTACTGTGTAGTGTTTTTGTGGACTTAAAAAAGACTGACATCATTGACCACAGTATTCATCTTGAAAAGCTAAATAAATATAGAGGTCCAGCAGTACAGTGGGTATCTAGCTATTTGTACAACTAAATCATGTAAGATATGAACTCACATGTGGAGTTCCACAGGGTTCTGTACTTGGACCAAAGTTGTTTATTTAAATGATTTGGTTAAAGTGTCAGGGTTGTTTAAATGTGTTTTATTTGCAGTTGACACTGCACTGACCTGGTTTAAACTTAATAGATTACCATTAAACTTGGATACAACTAATTATTTGATATTTAGTAATAAAAAGAGAACTGGTGAGGTTCCATTCAGAACTGATGGTTTTGAGATACTGCATGTAGAGTGAGTGAGGTGACAGGTGAAGTTTTTGGATGTCATTATTGATGAAAATCTGACATGGAAATCCCATTTAAAAAGCCAAATCCATTGCAGTATTGTACTAAGTAAAGGACTTATTTAATGATAAAGCACTGTTTGTATTGTACAGTATAATGCAATAATTGTTCCACACTTGATTTACTGTGTTGAAGTCTGGGTAATGTGTGTAAAACAATCACAAATCCTATTTTTATTTTACAGAAAAGAGCCATTAGAATCACCCTCGAATATTTTATTTTGTAAATTGAAATTACAAAAAATGTTATGAGTTGGATGATTATATCTTGCAGATAATGTATAATGCTCATAAAAAATTACCTTTAAACATCRAGCTATATTTTGTTAAGAGAGAAAATTTATATAATCTTAAGGGACTTGAGATGTTTATAAATTCAAACAAATTTGAAGGATCTATGCACTTCAGTTCAAGGAATAAGATTGTGGGATAATCTGGAAAGTGATTATAAAAATGTTGATTCAATGTGTTTGTTTAAGAGAATGATAAAAACAAGTTTGTTAAAGAAATATGAAATTGTATAATGTATATCAAAATTTGTTGTTTGAAAAGGAATTGAAGTTTTTATTTTGTGTTGTTTCTTGATTATTATTGCTTGAAATTAATTTTGGAAAAAGGGCAGATATTATATGATTTTTTTTCTTCTTCTGCCTCCTTTCATTTCAAATGTGATTTTTTTTGTTGTGTATAAAATTTTATTTTTTAAATGAAATTAATAAATGAATTAAACTGAACGAAACTAAAGAAAAGAAAAGAGAAGAAAAGACCATACTCGTGTAAAGAAGAAATTCTAGTTTAAATGATTGAAATTGAAAACATTAAACTCTGCAGGCTTTTGTGTGTCCTCTTTGTTCATCCTTCATCTGCCACTTGTTCTGAAGGCCGGTTGTGGGGCAGCAACTTGAGCAGGAAGGACGTGACATCTCTTTTTACTTTTCACTGACCTTCTAAGATTATTATTATCATCATTATCTAATCAAAATGCTTCTCTCCTGTTAGTATCACATATTTTTCAGAAAGAAACTGGCAAGAAAACAAGAAAGCTAAAAGTTGTGTTTATTTTTTTATTTATTTATTTATGTGGGCTGAGAAAGCAAATACAATACCGTTTGTTAGCTTTGGTCTGGATGGATGGATGGATGGATGGATGGATGGATGGATGGATGGATGGACGGATGGATGGATGAATGGATGGACGGATGGATGGATGGATGGATGGATGGATGGATGGATGGATGCCTTGTTAAAGATCTCACTCTTTAACAACAATTACATTCAATGTTTATGGAAACAGGTTTTGTAACAGTGTTTACATCCATGATTATGTTTGCATTGATTGTTTTCAAAGGAAACAACTTCTATAGAGAAACACACAAATTTACTGTCAACTAAGACAAATAACTATTTCAGCTGAAAGTATTGTATTTTTTTCTGTCATCCAAATTTAACAGAACTATTGATTCATTTTATCTCCACAGATTTAAGCTCATACAAATTATTTATAACACTATGTGTCAAGGTTTATTAAGGACTTTCTGCTAGTGAAAATTTACGATTTTGTAATAATAATAATAATAATAATAATAATAATAATAATAATAATAATAATAATAACAAATTCTCATCTCATCTTTCAGTGGCACTCTCCAGCTCCGATGCTTTCCAAGTCCAGAAAAAGATACATGTTCACTCCAACGAGTTCTGGGTTTTTTCCCCAGTGCGACAAGCAAAAAAACAATAATAACAATAATAAATACATCTAAAGAGAAGCATCCTATTTCGATGCCCGAACCACCTCAGCTGATTATTTTTAATGAAAATGTGCAGAGTCTGTACTTTGACCTCTCCCCTTGCTGACTCTTAGTATATTTAGGTGGATAACTGATTGTACTGTTGGTTCAGTGGGTCTTTATCTAAGATTGTATTTATTTTTGTTCATCCTGTGATGAGGTTGGTTTGGCACGCACCAAGTGAAAGTGCTCTACAAATAGTTTGACTCAATGTGTGTGTAGTGCCGCAGTTTGTCCACCAGAGGGCGACATTTAATCAGAATCTGAAGGGCTCTGTTTGAACCAAGACGGACACAAGCCGCTAGCTGTTTCAATGTATTGCTTTAGTTARAAAAATATTTTAGATCAATTTATTAAAAAAAACAATAACTATTTTTAACAAGAAGATCGGAAAGGCCCGAGTTTTCCAAATTTACAGCCCAAAACAAGTTACAGTTTTTATTTCCTACACAGTTTTACTGATTGTGGTAAATATCCAATGTTTTTTTTTTTATTTAAGGCCTTGTGTATATCTGTAATTAAAAATGATACGAAACAAAACTGTCGGTAATGTTTACAATGTCACAATTCGGACGGTTTTAATAATGTCTTCTGTAAACAAGCTGACGCTGTGAGTAATACGGTGATTTTCCCCATCAAATAATGGAAACTACTTTTTTGAGCAAATATAAACTCGGTTGAATAGACTGCAATTAGGCCTACTATTACAGTTTTTCAATCCTAGTCAAGTTTGTCTTCAACTCATTCAAGAAAAAAAATAAACAAAACATGGAAGGCCTTTTTTAATAGCTCTCCGTGAAGACGAAGGTTTAWATTTTAATGTCTTTATCATTTTTATTTATGTAATAAACTTCCTTGTTGTATTATAAAAAAATAAACTGAATTTGCTCCGGTTCTGTGAAGCGAACACCGGGCCCATGTGGGTTAACATGGATGTGAACCTCGCCGGGTTGGGCCTAGATCTCCATGCGGATGTGACATTTCAGAGAAGAGCGCGACCGCCATTTTGAGCTTTCCCTTCCCTCAGACTCAAACACATCACAAACCACAGGAGGAGTGCGGGTCCAGGCCAGGCGTCGTATGACCGGACACATTCCTCATACCTGACGACAGGTTGGTTTCACAATGCGACGGGGCGCCGCGTTTTGTTGTTTGTCTTTTTAGGGTCGGTTCGGGGAGCCGGCGGGGGTGAAATTAGTGGCAACTCTTCGTCTCCGCGAACTTCCAAATTGACGCTAACGTTGGTTGGAAACGGGTTTGAATGGATAGCTTCTTCCTCCGCTCTTCCCCGGTCGTTGGACAATCGGAGGGGCACACGGACTGGGGATATTGCGGGCAAAACTGTTGATTGTGTCCGCAGCAAATGAGCCTTTGTTTTCACCGTTGCCCATTTATTACCGTTTGGCTGCCTAGCGTCAGGTAGCTCCGCGCTAGTTACCAGCGGGTTCCTGAAGAAGGTGCAAGTCGTGCTGCGAGTTCCTGTAATTGCCCCTCGTTTCCCCGGGGTGATTTAGGTCGCTTCAACGGGCTTTCCGTCTCCYGAGCCCTCGGTCCCGTCGTCAGCCAGCGACTCGCACCCACCAAAAGCGCCGAGATTGGGCGAATAGCGAGCAAATACGTCCGCGTTTCTCTGCCCGCTCCCCAGCAGACCTTTCCTCCTCACTCCCCGGCGCTGACACCGGACAAGGCCGAGGTCGTCACAGAGCAGGCCCAGCCGCCGAGGCTTGACCTGTCCGCCCCACCTCTGCATCTCACCACACCTCACCAGCAGTCCAGAGCCCGGTTCCCCGCCGTCGAGCCGAGCCCGGACAAGGTCGAGGGCGACAGAGACAGCAGGGAGCACCGCATCACGACCACCACAGCCGCTGCCAACATGAACCACCACCACACGCAGCAGCAGCAGCAGAAAGCCGGTGAGCAGCAGTTCAGTGAGCCGGAGGACATGGAGATGGAGGGTGAGTAAATGGCTCCACGGAAGGTGAAAGCGACATTTTACATCATGTTTCTTCTAGTTTCACTGCCGTACGACGAATGCATGATATTTAGTTGATACACACTGAGTTCAGGGTTACACAGTAAACAACAAGGCCTCGGGATAGCCGGTTGCATTTCTGCTGATTGTGCGTCCGCTGCAGCATACTTCTGCGGAGCTGACCTCATTTTGCGTTATTAGCAAAGAGCAGAATCCGCAAACTCCGTCCTCTGGTTTGTTTAACAGTGTACGTTTGCCTGCAAGTTTGGGCCGTTTATATTCATAACAGATTAGTCACATAAATCATTCATCTGAAGTGACTAGCGCATTTCCAAATCGTTTAGATTTACTCGCCAAACGATCTTGTGTACTTTTTCCCAATACAATGTCAGATAAAATTCACTCACAGCCACTAAAATCCCCGTCTGTAGTTTGTTGATAAGCTAGATATGTGTAAACACTGCGTGCAATTCGCATTGATCGATCCATGAGTAATGTTGCTTCTCTATATCCTCCCGGTCAAAATAGTCAATTATACGTACAAACTTGCGCTTTGAAATTTAACTTTTCAGTGAAAAAATGTCAAGGAGGTTGAGTGTATTTTTGTGGGGAAAAAACTTTAGCAGGTTTGCAACATTACGCTAGCTCAGTATGTTAGCATRGCGTTTAAGGCCTTCGCTGTAATTGCGGGTGTGCAAACTTAAAGAAATCCGCTGATTGATACATCTTCCGGGTCCTTGTGTGCCTATCAGTAAATGGGAACAAATCGATATTTTCCAAGCGGTTTTGCGTGCGTTGGGTATTTTGCTTTTGTGTGTTTTGTAGACTTGTTAAACGAACTGCACGCAAGTAGCCTAATGGCTAATATCAGCTAGCAAATTAGCTCAAAGGCCCGCTTGGTTTCGTGCATTCGCTACTTAGCATGCTAGTTAGCCGTTGGTCACGGAGGGGGTGTGTGGCGTTTCAAAATGGTGGCTTGTATTTTGCATCGTTGATGCTCGGCTGTAGGGCCTTGGTTGTTAGCTCAATGTCGACTTTTTTTCTATCTTTCCTATTAAATCTAAACTAAGTTATGCAGCGAATTTTTTATGTTCTTCTTTTTCTTCGTTAATTTTAGTATGCTAACTGGCACCACTGATTACAGGTAATGTTGGCTAATAAAGGCCCGCAGATCAATCCGTGGCATCTATGCTTACGGTAAACGCGTTTGCTCGTTTATATTTCTAATAAAGCAACTCTGGACCGCATAACCGACGTTGTTCTTTCTGTCAACTCTACGTATCGACGTTTATTGGGGGTGTTATAAGAACTGTGTGGCCCTGCTGGCAGCCAGTGCTGCGGTAAGCTAAGCTGAGGAGCAGCGCGGGGATTTGCTGCTTCATTGTATGGAGGACCGAAAGGCATGGAGCTCGCCATTTTTAATGATCTGTGTTTTTGTTGCTTCAGTTTGGCGTGAGCTCGGGCCCCTTGAAGTCGTATGGCCTCAGTTTTGCACACACAACACCGACTTGACACCGTTTGTTTTATTATTTTATACAATTGACAAGTTTGAAGTTTGTAGGAGCTCGTGGGGAGCCCCGAGCTCCACTGCGTCATTCAGTCCTGTGGGGTTTTAGCATCTAATTAAACGCACTAATTGGTGTCTCAACAACACGTTTGCATAAATTTAGAGACGCGGGTTTGAAAAGTGTGTAAAGTATTGGAATTTTTTTCCTAATATTCCTACTATTCTTAGGGTTTTAATGAAATTAAAGAAGGGAAATAATAATTTTTTTTGTGATTTTAGACCTTTGTTTATTCAAAAAGGCACGGTTTACTCAAATTCAATTCAAAAGATTGCATCTTTTTTCTTTTCTGTAAAGATGACTGAGAAAAGGGAGAGGCAGAATCTAATATGTTGGCTGTCGTTGACAGTTACCTGTTGGCTTACTTCATTGTTTTCCAACTTAAACTAAAATATGTGCATTGATTGGTTGAAGTTGAACTGTAGGAACTGATATCTAGAACTATAATTAGTAAATATTTTTACAATGACTTTGAATATAATTCTATAAACATTTATGGACAATGTTTAGAATTGAATCATATAGTAATCTTTTAGATTATTTTATTTATCCTATTCTATACTATGTAAACATAGCTCTGTATTATTTTAATTTTTAGTTAATTTGTTTATAACAGGTGCATTCCTCCTTACTTTTGCTTCTGGCTCACCTCGCAGAAGTTCTCCCTCAGTGCTCCAAAACCTTACAAGYACAATGAAAACAAGTTGTCATAAAAAACTGCTCACTTTTTCTGACCACTTATGGCAACACACACACAAACGTTTGTTTCTTGACCCCGTGGGGACCTCCCATTGACTTCCATTCATGTTTTTTAGACTTTATAGCCTAACCCTGACCATATAGTCTAAAATTAACCTCACAGAAACTTACCTGACCCTAAAACTAACCTAAACCTTGGTCCTAAACCTAACCCCACACCTTTAACATGCATTTGGACCTGTGGGGACCTGACATTGGTCCCCACGATTCACTTCGGTCCCCACCTGGCTGCTTTTTTTTTGTAAAAAATACCCCACGTTGTAGGAAAAACCCATCCACACACACACACACAGCTTTTCTGTCCTGACCCAATGCCCTACATAGTTAGATTAAGGTTTAACCATCCCTTCATTCATTTTCACTGTTTCTTGACTACCAATAGACTGGTACTGTCTATTAAAAGCAGCTTTCAGAAAATACAAAACATGATGCTAAGAATTTTATAAACTTCCAGTTTTTTTAAAACAACAATAACAAAAGAAAAGCATGAGATCATAGTAACTTCTAGGACGGCTCATTGTGGTTGAATGCTCCAAACTACACTGTATCTTCTTAGTAACCAGTCCCTGTAACAGGATCAGCTGTGCCCGATAGATTAAAGCACAGCTGCTTTCAACCCATCAAGTACCTTTTTCTTGTTTCTCAGAATAAAGCTAAATATATTATTTCACCCCAGCAGATGTGGCATTTCATAAAAGATCAAGAAAAATTAGATGGCTCTCTAAACCCTTTTTTCCAGTCAAATGAATAATTGTTAGCATTTTCACTAAATGATACTTTTGTAGTCTGACAGGTTTGTGCTATTGTGAATTGTGATGCTTCTTAGAAAAACATTTCCAAGAAGAGCAAAGAGCCCTCCCCTAGCTGCAGTGAATTAAAGAGAAATTATATTCTTTGTTTTAAGAAGAATACAAAGATCTGGGTGATGCAGTAGCTCGGTGGTCAGTGTGGCAGTCTTGTACTCCTGAGGCTGCAGGTTCGAGTCCAGGTTGCATCAGGAAGAGCACCAGGCATAAAACTATTAGCAAATCTTTCATGCAAGTGGTGAACCCTGCAGAAGGGAGCAGCTGGGGAAAAACACACCACCACAAACCAAGCTCTGACTTTTGTGGTTTTCAGTGCTGCATCCATGGGTAGGCACTTAATAGATTTTAGGATGGACTGACAAACAGTGGGCGGGACTAAGTTCAGTTCACTCCAGTCGGTGGTGTAATCCACTTGGGGGAATCAAGGTCAGTTTCTTAAAGGAAGTGATAGGTACTCTTACCTGGCGATTAGTACACACAGCTCAGTGCTGACTGTGTTAGCGTAGCGCACAAACCTGAACAGAGAAGTCTACAAAACTCTCATCAGAGAAGAGATGCAACATGTTGGTGACCTGTCTGATTCATTTCCGTCATTACTCAAACGCCTGTCCTCTGCGGCGTCACGGTCTTCATCACAGGATCGCTGCAGATTGTGCTCGCCCCCTGAAGTCGGGCCTAAAGCCTCTCCGACTCTGTCATTAGTGTGTTTGGATGAATGTGACGAGTTGTCTCATTCGCCTGGGATAATTGTTGTCATCTGCATGCGTCTGTTTTGTTTGAATGATGAGTTTCAGCTTAATCCAAAATTTGATCCATAATTATCTAGCCTCTTGTTGCCCTCTGATTTTTATACACACTCCTTCCCTTTTTGCAGGCTTCACTCGGTACACACACTGTCAGGGAAATGCTTGTTTGGCTGTCTTAGCAGAGCTTTCACGGATGGCTGTAGAAAAGTGGACAGGAAACTCCCATTTTATTGAATATCATTTAGGCACCGCTAGGGTTGGGCATAATCGTATCGTGTGCAATTAATCGTCAGAAAAACATTAATCGATCACTTTTTGGCACTTGATGATTAATACGATTACTGCCATCAGGCAGACTGACTGGAGTTTACTACGGTCAGTCTGCTCGTTGCTCCTGTCCGCTTCAAATATGATAAACATTAAAAATAAAGTTCTGTAATTTATTTATCTATCAACACAATTTAAAATATAATGTATAGCATGAAGTCTGTAATTTTCACACAATTTGGAACAATTTTTTACAAATAACAAATCTTTCCCACTAAACTGGGCATGTGACTAAGAAATAAGGGTGTCCAGGGACTCCAGGGGATTAATCATCGAATCAATCGTTATCGGCTAAATACCACAATTAATCGTGATTAATTTTTTTTTAGCTAATATTGCCCAACCCTAGGCACCTCTTTTATTTCTGGATGAATATTGTTGGAGGAAGGTTTTTGACTCTAGACCTGCTCATGTCTTGAGATTCAGAATCTTCAGTCAGCTTTAGTTCAGTTGAAATAAGTACTTCAAGTTTCCATCAGTGTTTAAACACAGGTATTTATGAAGTTTTGTCATAATGTTTGCCCTTCCTTTACAGCTGGGGACACAGATGATCCTCCAAGAATCCCAGCTAACCCAGTGATCAATGGTAACGTGGCCATGGCAGATGGACACAACAACACAGAAGAGGACATGGAGGACGGTCAGGAGATAGATGCTCCAACAAAATGTACAATTTATTTAAAAAAAAAAAGAAAAACTAGAAATGTACCAATTTTCCTGTCCTTTTTTGCCTCAGACACCAGCTGGCGATCTGAGGCGACATTCCGGTTTGTGGTGGAACGCTTCAGTCGCCTGAGCGAGTCTGTTCTCAGCCCGGCCTGCTTCGTCCGGAACCTGCCCTGGAAGATAATGGTGATGCCGCGGTTCTATCCTGACCGGCCTCACCAGAAGAGCGTTGGCTTCTTCCTGCAGTGCAACGCCGAGTCTGACTCCACGTACGTGATTCTGTGAATGAAAACAAAACAAAGACGATGTGTTAACAACTAGGGATGCACGATAACTTATTTTAAGATCCGATAACTTTCTCCTTCTAATGGCCGATAACCGATAACATGCCAGGAGAGACGAGTCAAAAATGGGTAAGATCATTACATAAATAAACACCAAAACCAAATGACGCTGTAAATTATACTATTTGTAAAAAACTCTTAGCAAACAAACATTTCTCAAATTATATCAAACAAAACGATTTCTCAAATGGCCATTTTTTAAAATAAGGCATATTAATTATAAAAAAGACCTTTAACATTGATCTCAGATTTAAACAAAAGACAAAAAGTCATTCCACAAATTCAAAACAGATAATGCACTAACACAAGATAGGGTGAACGGCTGTTTGTCATCGTTTCCATCATTAAAGTGCTTGAGATCTGTGTCCTCTCTGGCAATTTTATTGGATTTGTCAAAAGCTTCAGCAATGATTTAAGTCCCGATGAGTTCTTGAATGCTAGCTTGTTGTTGTTAGCATTTTTAGCAGACGGACTCTGTGCTGCATTCAGGACATAATGGACATTACATGTTCTCAAATCGGGAGTAGTTGTTCCGATGTTTATAATTAAAATGTTTGTGTGTAACATACGTGGTTAATTGGTAAAATATTAATAATTCTTAAAATGACTGGTTGTTTTTCAGCACAGAGTATTCTAATTATTGTCCGAGTGAGAAAGTATTTTTTTCTGATGCAACTTCAACGTTGCTCGGGTCGTGCCGGACAGGAAGCGGCTTAAACAAAAAGGATAAAAATAAACACGCATTCTCATCTCTGCGCTGGCAAACATATGTTATCGGTTCTGTTTGTTATGAAATCGGACTCATAACTATCGTGCACCCCTGTTAACAACCAATTAAAAAATGAAAGAGTGGCACTGATTTGTTGGTTGAAAGGTTTTGTTGTAGTCCAAAAACTGCAGGATGTTCAGCATCAATAATGAAATGCTGCCACAAAGCATCTTAAAATCATTTTACAAAATTAATGTTGATCTGTTTGCATAGAAGTTAAATTTATCCACAGTCAAGCGATTATCACAGTGTATATTTTGACCATTGTCCTGCATTAATTTAAGACTGGATTTAATCATAGAGCTCAGTAGGAAGAAAAGTGTTTGTTCTCAACAGACATTTAAATCTTTTGTTTGCTATAAAATCTCATATATTCATCTCTTGGTGAATGTTGGCTGAAATACCAGATTAGTTCTCTATAGTGCTGTACCAAACGATTATTTTCTAACCGATTAATCTAACGATTATTTTTTCGATAAATCGATTATTCTAACAACAAATCTAAAAGTTATTCTGATGTGAGTGCACTGGATGTTTAAAATGTTTTCATCAAATTAACAAGAACAGTTCTTTAATATTGTAATATTTTCTTTAATAGTTTTTCATGGACACAAAATATGCACTCTAGAGTCAATTCTTTAACAAAAAAAGCTTAAAAGATTTAACATCAACATAAAATCTCAACCAAAGCATATAAAATTCAACTAAAAGAAATATAGTGCAAGATGTTAATCTAACAAATGAACTAAATCATGCAAAATTCAAGTCACTCTCTGGAAAACCTATAATAAACATATAAACATTTATTTATTATTTTTTATTTAACATATTTCTCAATATATAAAAATTAACAAATATCAAGACAACGTCCAACTCTTTGTATTGTAACATCAGTTGTGTAACTTATTTCTTTATGGTGAAAACTGTTGAAAACAACAAGACTGTTTTGTCTTATTGCACAAATTAATATCCAGCTCCACATGTTTCTGTTGATGTCATTTCCCCACTAGAAACATTGTGTGATGGAGGTCCATGGAAGGCAAATAAGTTTAAGAGGATGCAGTTAAAATAAATAAAAGGTATATAAGCTACGTTTTGAACATCCAGAACACGTCCAACACTTGTTGGCTGCTTGTGCTCTTTAGGTCAGACGTGTGTCGGGAAGCTCCTCTGTTGTTTGAGACGCTGGGGGAACCGTCTGATGGGGGAACGTGGCTCGACCTAACACCGGTCTCTGTTTAATGGTGGATGAAATAAAGAAAGTGGCGGTACTTTTATTTACTTTGAGCAAGAGAACGTCATGCTCACAAGATAATTAATCCACCAGATAATTCAGAGGCGGTCTGTTCGGTAAATTTTACTCCAGGAGCTGCGAGTCTTGTTTTCAAGCTTCAGACTGAACTGAAGCAGTGGCTGCTGACGTCATTACACTCTTGCGTGATGCTGCGTTCAGGACAAGCATGGAAAACTCACCACTCTTATGCCAATACGGTCTCAATGATGCTTTTAGGTACCGAAATGGAATTGCATGAACATTCACGTGGTGGTTATGTAACACAGCCAATCGATAATAAAAAATCTGCATCGACAAATTTACATAATCGACGTCATCGATTATTTCAACTAATCGGTGCAGCCCTACTTGTGATGTCCACGGCCTACCCCAGTTACCACTACTGTGCATGCGTGTCAAGGACAGAAAGGCAAATGTGACAGTGGAAGGTGTCAAAGCAGTTTAGAGAGAAAAACAAAGTAAAGAACAGAAAAAAACGATTAATCGATTATTAAATTAGTCGATTAATCGGTGCAGCCCTAGTTCTTTTACATTCAACTCGAAGCACAAATACCCGTATAGATCAGCTTTTTATCGTTTTGCTTCATTTTAATGACACAATGTAGAAATTTTGGGCATTTTAAATGTGAATGCTATTTGTCAAAACTTAAATTTTCTAAAATGTTTCAGTTATTTAGAGACATTTGGAGAAAAAGTAAGGGATTTTTGAAAGTCAGAAAAAAAATCTAATTTTTACAAAAATAGTTCATATTTGACTTTCTCCTCAGTGTTTAGAAATGAAAGCATTTTAAATGTCATCTCTTTTCAGGTCATGGTCTTGCCACGCTCAAGCCATGCTGAAAATCATCAACTACAAAGACGACGAGAAGTCGTTCAGCCGCAGGATCAGTCACCTGTTCTTCCACAAAGAGAATGATTGGGGCTTCTCCAATTTCATGTCGTGGAGTGTAAGTATGCAAACATACCAAAATTGGAGATGGTGTTTTTAAAATTGCATTACCCAAAAAAAAAAAAAAATTGCATTACCAAAATATTCACATTTCTTTTACCATTTGCACCTTTTTGTTCAGACGCCTTTCTTGGCATTTGGCTGTTAAAATGTAAAAATAAAGAATTGATGAGACGAACAGCTTGACCTATTTTTATATTTCAGGATGTGACTGACCCAGAGAGGGGCTTCATCGATGACGACAAAGTCACATTTGAAGTCTACGTCCAGGCAGACGCCCCACATGGAGTGGCGTATGTCGTCTTCTTTCTGTGACCAGTTACAAAATGTAAAGGCATTTAAAGAAACCAAACTAACAATATAATTGTTTTCCCTTTAACCAGCTGGGACTCGAAGAAACACACAGGCTATGTTGGGTTAAAGAACCAGGGAGCAACTTGTTACATGAACAGCCTGCTACAGACACTCTTCTTCACTAACCAATTACGACGGGTACGCTTTTCTTTTTATTTAAATCATGGTTTTGAGCACTAGGCTGATCCAGCTTTAAATTTCTGGCATAATTCTATCCAAACTGGTTCAAAACATAATTATTGTCATCATTTCATAGTGAATGGTTAGTAACTGTAGGACGTTGTTTTCTAAAGTGGTCATGTTGATGTGGACCCTGTGTTCTCAGGCGGTGTACATGATGCCTACAGAAGGGGACGACTCATCGAAGAGCGTTCCTCTGGCGCTGCAGAGGGTTTTTTATGAGCTTCAACACAGCGACAAACCTGTTGGCACCAAGAAACTCACAAAGTCCTTTGGGTAGGTTTTTTTAAAGTTCTAAACAGATTGATACTAAAATAAAAACAAATGTTGCACAACAAAGGAAAGAATGTGATGTTTGTTCAATGTGGTTTTTTAATTCTGAATCGTTTTTGTCTCGACAAAGACCAAAACCTTCATACCTCTAGAAATAATAAAACGTTGAAGTATTTTTTTGTTGCTTTGAAAGATGCAATTTCTCTTCATTCAAAGCTCAGATCTGTATATTTTAGCTGCTTGTTGTCTGCAGGTGGGAAACACTAGATAGCTTCATGCAACATGATGTACAAGAGCTGTGCAGAGTGGTGAGTGCTCTCATTGGATTTTTAGTAATGTGCACCGATCTGTGCTGAATAAATTCTGACACACAATGTGGGTGTGTGTTCCAGCTCCTGGACAACGTGGAGAACAAAATGAAGGGCACTTGTGTTGAAGGAACCATTCCTAAACTATTCAGAGGAAAGATGGTGGTATGTTTTCACTCGTCTTTTTTCACAAATCTACAAAAAAATGCATCATAAATAGACATTTGCAGACTCAAGTTCAGTCATGTTTGTATAACTTGCATCACTTTTATAGGTTCTGTGAACACAGTGACATTAACTTAGCTTGGCACAAAATATAACATTGGTTGTCCATCTTCTGCCTTAAAATAGATGACGGGTAAAAAAAGACCTAACCCTCTGAGAAATCTCAATTTGAACTGCCTAGAACTGTGCACTCTAACATGTGTTTGTGTTTCTTTCTAGTCTTATATCCAGTGTAAGCATGTGGACTACCGGTCTGAACGAATAGAGGACTACTATGACATCCAGCTTAGCATAAAGGGAAAGAAGAACAGTGAGTAGCAAAAACAACTTGATAGTTTTTATCATTGGTAAAATTTAGCTTTTTTTAACTTTTAAGTTAATCATTATTTAGACTACTTGTTGTTTGGCATTTCAGTGTAAAGGATTTCTTAATATTTGTTTCGTCTGCCTGTTTTCAGTTTTTGAGTCGTTTAAAGATTATGTTGCTACTGAACAGTTAGACGGAGACAACAAATACGATGCAGGAGAACATGGTCTTCAGGTGAGTGTTCTCCTTCATCAGGAGATTTTATTGATTTATTTTGCCTTCATATAGATTTTATTGTGTTGCTATGATTTTTACACCAGTTTAAACACAGAATTGCAGTAAAATCTTATTGTTAAAATAGTCATGAAACCTATACTTGAAGACGTAAATTGTTTATAGTTTCTTCAGGCTGAAATAATCACATTAAATTTAATGTGATTTGTGTGTTTCTTTTTTTTTTTTTTTAATCCAAGCTGAATTAAGTAAAATTTGGCCCAACGTGTGTGTTTGTGTTGCAGGAAGCAGAAAAGGGTGTGAAGTTTCTCACTTTCCCTCCAATCCTTCACCTGCAGCTGATGAGGTTCATGTATGACCCACAGACTGACCAAAATATCAAGATTAATGACAGGTAGAACAAACACAGCTTCAACCTTCCACTTCTGACTTCTTTTACTTTTCTTAATGTTACTTTTGCGTTACTTCCATTGAAGTAGACCATTCCTCGTCACATGCTGCAGCAGAGGTTGTTGCTTGGATCTAATTTTAGAGCGTCTGCTCTATATTGGCGTAGGTGAAAGGTGTAGCATATTTTCAGAAACGGCTCCTGGGTTTGAGCGGAGTAAAACATCTGACATCCTGCCATGTGATGATGGACTCAAATACTTGTTGACCCTGTTTTTACTTCAAGTCATTAAATGGATTCACTGAAATTTAAGGCCTTAAATGTTCTGTTGGAATTAGTTTTCAAGAAAAAGGAGATGCCAGAGTCATTTATCAGGGAAATACATTAGAGTAGCATGTGGAACCATATAACCTTATCATTCTGTCTCCTCAACAGGTTTGAGTTTCCAGACCAGTTACCTCTGGATGAGTTCCTTCAGAAGCCAGACTCCAAGGACCCAGCCAACTACATACTACATGCAGTGTTGGTACACAGCGGGGACAACCATGGCGGCCACTACGTCGTTTATCTTAATCCTAAAGGAGACGGCAAAGTGAGTCTTACAGATGATATTGGAAGCATTTTTTTAAAGACAATTTTCATGAAATAGAATTTCATTTGGCAACTGGAGTTCAATTTGCTTCTGTATGACCTTCTTGTAAGTTTAATGTTATAAATCACTTGTTTAAAATGTTCAAAAAACTGAAGTTATTAACCCAAAACATGAAATTATTACCTCCGCCCAGGGCGAGGTAATTTTTTTCAGTCGTGTCTGTCTGTCTGTCGTTCTGTCTGTGGACAACATTACTCAAAAACTTGTGGACGGATTGTCATGACATTTTTACCACATATGGGTACTGGGCCAAGGAACACACCTTTAAATTTTGGTGATGTTCCGGATCACGATGCGGATACAGGAAWTTTTTTTCTTTTAACACTCTGAGATCAGCAAAGCTGTGATGCTTTCACAGGGCTTCTGTAAAAAAAACACTGAGCTGGATTGGACAGCACGGACTTCAAACTTTATAAAAGTAATGTTAAAACCACATTTAATGATGAATAATTTTTTGCCATAATGTGCGCATTTTTACACATTTGGTGCGCATTTAGAGAAAGTTTTGTGACCAGGAAGTGCGTGACTGCACCATGAAACCTATTTTTCCCATTTCCTCAAACAAACCACATTTCCGAAACAACCAATCAAAACAGTTTGTCTCTACTAGGCTTGTAAACAGASAGCTGACGGGCCTCAAAGTTTGGAGATGGGGGAGCCAGGAAGCACTTTATAAAYAGAGTCAAACCATTACAAACTCATACAAGGGGATAAAACAGACGTTTTGCACGGTGAAATGTGACTGATGAAAACTTAGGAGCTTAATCTGACACCAGTTTGACGATGAATAACGTTGGGTGACGAGTCTGACTTTTTTTTTTTTCTCACATTGGTCTCCACCGAGAAGAAATTCCATGCATACTGCCTGCTTAAATGTTTGCTACGTCAGAACTTCATCAGCAAATGTGTTTCCATCTCTGCTTTTGCGCATTAACTCTACTACAGGATGGGGGAAATTGGTCTTGGCGGAGGTTTGCACTCAGAGTGCTTCTAGTTTAAAGATTAAATCCAGCTTCAGCTAACGTTAAAAGCTGAGAGTCTTGAAATAAAATGTATTCTTCCTCATTCTGGTTCGTCTCTTTTAGCTGTTTCACAGAGCAGGATGAGAACTTTCCCCTCTTCATTCATTTTCTCATTTTTCTTCTGCAGTGGTGTAAGTTTGATGATGATGTAGTGTCACGATGCACCAAGGAAGAGGCCATAGAACACAACTACGGWGGGCACGATGACGACCTCTCAGTCCGCCACTGCACTAACGCATATATGTTGGTTTATATCCGTGAGTCCAAGCTGAGTAAGTAACACGCTCCTCCTTTCTACTTAACACTACAGCTAATATTGCTTTTAGAATTTCATCCAGACCTGGTAGCAGGCACTTCAGGTCTGTTAGCATCCACTTCTCACTTGTACCATGATCTCTAACTCAGGTGAGGTGCTGCAGCCCATGACTGATGTGGACATCCCTCAGCAGTTGGTGGAGCGTCTGCAGGAGGAGAAGAGAGTGGAGGCACAAAAGAGGAAGGAACGCCAAGAGGCTCACCTCTACATGCAGGTCCAGGTAGGAAACCAGGGACAGGGTTCCTTTCAGAGATTCTTAAAAGGCATTGAATTCATCAATCCAAAAATGAGGCCTTAGTTTGCCGTAAATGTCTTAAAAATATTAACACAGTTTTTTTTAATAATTTACCAAAAGCTTCTTGCAACTAGTTGTTTTGTGTTAAAATAAACATTTGGGTAAAATATTGACTGGGTTTTTTTCCATTTGTGTTTATTGTGAAGTTGGCCTTAAATTTAATTTCACGTGGTATTAAAGAGGTCTTAAATTGAACTCTTTGAGCTGTAGGAACCCTGCAGAGAGGTTTTCTTGTTTCGATGTTTGCAGTGCAGAAACATCACCTTAATAAGTTTATGATGTCATGAAATTTGTAGGATCTCTCTTAATTTTGACTTCAAAGTATGAACTTTACTTTTCAAAATAAAAACGTTGGACACTGATGCACCAGCATTAGTTTGGACGATTTAACCCTATCGTGTTAAATCCAGGTCTTTTTAGGAATTTATTTGCTCCAACACACCTGATTTAATAGTTGAATTCCCTCATCAGCACACCAAGTTCAGCACAGGCCTGTTTATTTAACACACATTTATTTAAATCGTTTGTTGAAGCAGAGAACTCTATTGAGGACCAGAATTGGATGCCACTGATTTAACTCTTAGATGACTAGTTGAGCATAATAAGCACCACCTCAGAACCAAACATTACTACAGCTTGAAAACACATTGTTTATAGAAACAGTTATTTTTACAGTATCCTATTAAAAAAAACTGAAAAGTGTGTTAACTGTCAGTAAAGTCTGTGTTGGGCAAAGTTGCGGTGTCATTCCTGCTCATCCTCCATTTTCCTGATAAATCACCTGAGCATTTATATCTGTAGACTACAGATAGAAATGCTCTAATGGCACTACAGTAGTGCCATTAGAGAAAAAGCCTAGTAAGATATTTTGTATGTTGAGAAACTTTTGTACTCCTAACCTCAGTAACCTCAGAGAATACAGCCAGTGATAGGGTTGCCTGATCCCTGAAGGGCCACTTAGTCATAAGTCTAATAAATTACATCTATTTCACAGTTAGGAGCACACTGAGGCGATGAAGGGTCCAGTGGCCTTCTTCACGAGATTAACGACCTCACTTGCTCGTCACTACTCAGCATTTGTATCTGCAGTGTTTTATTAACCCAGAACAGCCTGACTTCAGACTAAATTGCCTATATGATGAATCTTTTCAATCTGTGAACAAACAAATTAGGAAAATGAATTAGGATTATTTGAAAAATAATTAAAAACAGAAACATTTTGTTTGCTGAGTGTTTGTGGTTTATTGGCTGCATGTGATCTTTTGGAATTAATATTAAAAAAGATTAGGGTACGCATTCTTTGCACTGTAGATGAGAGGGAAGGGTGGGTGCCTGGCTAGGTCTCCCCTAAATAAGTTCAAAGGAAATAAATAGGAGTGTGTTAAGATGGGAACATACTCGCTCCGACGCCGACGGGTCGACGCACGGTCACGTGGTTGTTCGGCAGTCGTTTTCGCACAGACCTTTCATAGTCCCTACGACACCCCCGTGCCGAATTCGGGAAACCCCCCCTCCCTGAAACACATGTCACTGCATGGAGTTCCCCCACAACAGCCGATAATGCAGGGGAAAAAAGTCAGATTTGTCACTCACCTGACGTATTTATCCACATCTGTCCTGATTAAAAAGCTCCACAGTTTCAGATTCCTCCGTGCCTGTTTATCTGTTATGTCTGTTTATCTCCATTCATGAGTTTTTCACGGTTTGACTGTCTTTATAAAACTCTGCTTCCTGGTCGGCTCGGGGAGTGAGTCGGGTTTTTTTTTTTCTTTGTTTTTTTTTTTTAACCGAGTGGTTGAAGTAAATGCAGCGCATAGCGCTGTCAGCACAAACACGCATGAGTTTTTCTCGGTTTGTCTATCTTTAAAACTGCTCAAAACAGTCTGCTCTAGTCAGAAGCGAGTTTTTGTTTTTTTCTTCAGCTGTGTCCGTCCGAGCGCTTTCAGTTCAGACCAATCACACATTACCGTCGACAAGGGAGGGGGGTCAAAAAGTTCTGCCGGGGTCTTGTGCCAAAAGGGGCTGTCGACACGACGCTGCGAAGCCCGGTGATGTAATTTTTGTCATTAAACTGCGACAACCCGTGCTGACGTCGGCAGTTCGCAAGGAGTATGTTTCCAGCTTTACTCTGACCACTGAGCTTGTTACGTACTCATCTCAGACTCCCAGATAGCACTAACGTGAATGTGTGTTAGTGCTGTTTATTAGTTCACCTGTTAGTGTGCTGTGATGCTGTAATTCTGTGATAGAAATGCAGGTTTGTTGGAAATTATGTTTGGGATACAAGGAAAGTGACCTTTAAATCAATGGTGTTTTTTTTTTTTTTTTTTGGTTCTTTTATGGAGGCATTGCTCATCTGTGATAAGGTAGTAAAAGTGATGTTTTAAACGGCAGATGCTGTTTTGCATTTCAGCCTGTCTGAGATAAGGTTTAGTTATTGAGGGTTGTTAAAAATAAGTACAAAAAATATCAACTTGAGACAGTTGGTGTAGACATTTACAATCAATTATGAAGGTTGTCTYTTTTCCTTCCTTTGGCTAGATGGTGACAGAGGACCAGTTCTGTGGGCATCAGGGCAATGACATGTACGACGAGGAGAAAGTCAAGTACACGGTCTTCAAGGTCCTGAAAAGTTCCACTTTGCAAGAGTTTGTCCAGAACCTCTCCCAGACCATGGTGAGTGACTCAAGTCAGTGAGACATGAAGAACCTGTGAAGTTTGTTGTTGTTTATCGACACACAACTATTGTTTTTACCCAAGTAGACTTCAGAAGTTAAACATGTTTTCAGAACTGTCTTCACACACAAACTAGAAAACTGCTAAAAAGAAGGGTTGTTGATCTTCCTGTTTGTCTTGATGTAGATTCCAAGCTGCCAGACAACAGAACAGAACAAACATTTATTTTTATTTACACACATTTTCCTCCTGTTTGATCAGCAACAACCTGTCAAATAGGCTTGGGCGGTATGAAGGTATTTTGTTGCTCTGCGGCATCAAAATAGGGTGACGGTGTGTAAAAATTAGGACAGTATGGCTACGTTCACACTGCAGGTCTTAATGCTCAGTTCCGATTTTTTTTAAAAATCCGATCTTTTTGTGTGAACGTTCACATTACATTTTAAATGTGACCTGCATCAGACCCGTGTGTGAACGCTACACAGCACTGATGTGACACGCATGCGCAGTAAAAGACGTGACGTCTCTTCAGCCGGCTTGTTTGTTTACAGAGCTAGCATGATGCTACATTTTGCACATCGAATCGGAGGTTGTTGTTTAATCAGAGCCGATTAAATAATTATCTGACCTGCTTCTTTAGTTCAGTGTTTATATCTGAACCTGCCTCTGACCAGGATGCTCCAGTTTTTTTTTTTTTTTAACGAAACAACGAGCTGGAAAAAAGTARCGACCGAGTAGCTAACTTTAGGATCGATACTCTCCGCGACCCAGGCTGGACATCGTTATTATCAAACTATCTACATGGAAAATGGAAAGTAAAAAGATGAAGCAACTGGACTTGTGTTTTGGAGTTGTAAACACACGGAGCTGCAGATTTAAACAGCGAGACTTGAGGTTAGTGTCTTATCGATCCTTCACCTCCTCCTCCTGATGAAAAAGTCAGATGGAATGTGACATGAGCGTTCACACTGCAGTCACTTTGAAAACATCAGATATATATCCGATTTAAAACCACATACTGAAACGGCCTGGGTCGGATTTGAAAAAATCGGATTTGTCTCATTCAGACTGTCATAAAAAAATCGGATATGAGTCAGATGGGTCAAAAAAAATCGGATTTGGGTCGGATTTGCCTGCAGTGTGAACGTAGCCTATGAGTCACGTGAGTTGAAGCACAACATTTTCACAAGGCTGCTATGAAAACTGGGACACAAACATTCTAGACTGTTTCAGAAGATGCCCCATAACATTACTGATGTGTTCTGACCAGGATGGGGGACATCCCTGTTTGTCGCTCCTCTTAACCTCCAAGCAAGGTTAGTGGCAGTTACGGTACTCACAGGCTCCCGAAAAGATCGGCCGTCTGGTGCTGACTGACTGACAGCTTCATGGACCAACCAGCTGCGAGTTTAAGTCAAAGAGTGGGACTTCTTTTGGATTGAAACTTTACTTTCTTTTTTTTTTTCGAGACCCGCAAGCTCCTTGCTACAGACAAGACAATGACTATAAACTTTGTAAGCACAAAGARGTTCCTCGCTTAATTATTAATTACTCAAAATGCCACAGACACCCCCACCCCTGGTAATACCATATACCGCAGTACCGCTCAACCCTACTGTCAGACTGTATGATACGCTCAGTTTAAATCGTGCTTAGTTGTTTTATCAAGATTTTGTTGTTTTGTTGGGTTTTGTAAAATCAACCGGTGTTTCCTTGGTCCTGCAGGGTTTCCCTCAGGACCAGATGAGGCTGTGGCCCATGCAGGCCCGCAGCAATGGCACCAAGCGACCCGCCATGCTCGACTACGAGGCTGATTGCAACAAGTCGGTATGTGTGTGTGTTGTTTTATCTCTCTTATTTTATTCTTCAGAYAGCAGTTTGTGTAGATATTTTGATCAAGTTTTATTTTAAGTCACATTCTCTTGTCATTCCTGTTATTAGGTTTTCAATAAATAATTCTGTCTAGCACATTCATTTAGCTTGTCTCCAGTAAGATGTTTGTTTTAGAGCAAGAACAAATACAAGTTTATATTCTGTCTCTTTTAAAAATGCTAGTCATCACACATTTTCAAATATCTGTGTGCTTTTATGTTTTAGATGATTGACTTGAGTGACAACGAGAACCCCTGGACAATATTTTTGGAGACTGTGGATCCAGAGATGGCGGCCAGCGGGGCCACATTACCTAAGTTCGACAAAGACCGTGAGTCCGACACATCAGCGCTCATCATATGTAACGATCTTAGGCATGTTTTCAAACGACGTCTTGGTTTAAAAGTAATTGTTAAAGTTATCAGTTACTCAAAAGATATAAAGAGATAATTGTTGTGGTGTGGCATAAGGATCCTATCAAATAGAAAGCTACGTGTTATTTAGCAATTCTTGCAAAAACAAATTTCTTTCTTTATTCACTCAGATTATTTTTTTCTTGATGTGTGACAAGGTGCAATCGTGTTCCACATGGCCKTAATGAAAACTTTACATATCTTCCCTTCAGCTGATAAGTGAAAGACTGCAAACCTCTAAATATGTCTGCATGTTTTTTTTAATACAATGTTAAAAATGCTTCTACTGTTTTTACACTAATTATAAAAAAGATAAAATTCTATCACAGCTTTCATGTGGAACTTTCCAAAATTACACCAAAATGTGTTTTCTGTGAGGCATTAGTAAAAAAAAAGTTTTTGCATCTTTATTTTTAGTCTTATGGAGCCAGACTTGTTACATTTTCCATCATCTCCACTTCCTGGCTTCTTTTGCCATTGCTTTAAAATGTCCACCATAACTATGATTTTTTTTTTTTTGTTTCAGATGATGTCATGTTGTTCTTAAAGATGTATGACCCAAAAACCAGGAGCTTAAATTATTGTGGACATATCTACACACCTATATCCTGCAAAATAAGTAAGTCTTTGCTTAAAAGTATTGTTGAGATGAAACAAATGTGTGAAAGTTTGTGAAGTACTCAAATAATTGTCCTCTTGCTGCAACCAGGAGACTTGCTGCCGGTCATGTGTGAGAGAGCAGGGTTTCAGCAGGAAACTAGCCTTATCCTCTATGAGGTAATTTATTGTTGTGGCACCTGATTTTAGACTGATCTTTGTCTCGTTTGTTTCTTCACATTCTCAGGTTGTTCTCTCGACACACAAGCTCTGATTCTCCGTTTCACCAGAAAACTGTAAATCTGTTCAGGCTTTAACTCTTTCTCCTCTGACTCTTTAGGAAGTAAAGCCCAATCTAACYGAGCGGATACAGGACTATGATGTCTCTCTGGACAAGGCCCTGGATGAGCTCATGGACGGGGACATAATTGTCTTCCAGAAGTAAGTTTTGGCTCGTGCATTCAGTTATAATTTTTGGAATGAGAGGCAATTTACAATATATTTCACAATTAAGAGATTAGGTGTTTAAAACATTTTCTTCTCTGTTCAGAACAACACAGGTGTTCAGGTTTCCTAGGCACAAAATAAAAAATAAAAAAAATATTATTAGGGCTGCACAATATATTGCAAATTTGTGGTCATCACAATAATAGTGAGAGTGATGGTTTAGATCAGTGGTTCTCAAACTTTTCTGCTTTTCATCAACAAAATACCAGCAGCAGAGACCTGCCCCCAACTGTTTTTGGGTGTTAAACATGATATCAGGTCATATAAACAAGGGCATAGTAACAATATTCATTATGCTACTTTTATCCATTTTAGCCAAACTAAACTCACTCAACAACTAAGGCAAAAAAATTGTTGTTTGTCATCATTTTTAAGTGTAATTAATTCTGAACATTTTGTAAGACCTCAATGTTTTGAGACCAAATTGTGGGTCCCAACCCCAACTTTGGAAACCACTGGTTTAGATGATGATAATAAAAGCTAGGGGTGCTTAAAATGTTGCAATATTAGTACAGATCTAGACATTGCAATCATAAATATTATCAAACATTGTCACTAAGCTTTTTTTTTATATCATGCAGCTCTAAAAAAAAAATTTTTTTTTTGATCCAACGTGATTTTATAGGTTTGGATAAAATTTAAAAAAAATTGTTCCAGATTGCACATCTGAAGGTATTTTATAGAAACTTACAAAACATCCAAACAATTGCTGAAACAATAGAAGCTGTCTCATTGTGTATTAAAGTTAAGCATCATCATTGTAATGTTCACTTTTGATTCAGTCAAAATTGGCTATAAATTTGACAGGAAAATCAATCATTTCAGTCAAATGTTCAAATTGTGAGGACATGCTGCATGTCAGCTCTAAAAAGGTTCCTTGTGCTTTAACTGTGGTCATCATCCACTTTGAACATTTTTTTATTGTCAGTCATTGTTTTGATCATATTAACCACCTCCTCCAAACGCACAGGGACGACCCAGAGAACGACAGCAGTGAGCTGCCTACGGCGAAGGACTATTTCCGGGATCTCTACCATCGGGTTGACGTCATTTTCTGTGACAAAACCATCCACAACGACCCTGGCTTTGTGGTCACGCTCTCAAACCGCATGAACTATTTTCAGGTGCGTTACAAGTCATTTTTAAAACAACACTTAAACTTAACCTTAGTTTGTCTCAAAATCTCAGCTCTGATGTTCAAGTCTTTTCTGTTTTTTTCATCATTTAAATCACTTGTCAGATTAAATCTGWTGGTGGTGATAACCTGCGTGATGTTTCTGGGTGTTTGTCAGGTGGCCAAAACCGTCGCTCAGAGGTTGAACACAGATCCAATGCTGCTGCAGTTCTTCAAGTCACAGGGGTAGGAGCCTTGTCTCATCCACACTCACAGTAACTGCATGCAGACACTGAATCATGTACCGTATTTATTCATGTATAATATGATCTCGAGTATAATACGATCATCATTTTTTGAGCTTACAAAGCGTAAAAATCTAATTAAAAATAACCTATGAATAACACTATCCCCCCACTTTATGATTTTTAGGATTAAATTTCTAGTATCATACATGAATAAATACAGTAATTATTAATAATAAGTTGTTCTGATCAGGATTTTGTTGCATTTTATATAAAAAAGTAAAGGATTGTTCAAGATTCTATCTTTAAATAAGCTTTTGTGTTTTTTAAGCTGCTCTAATCTTACAGTGAAAGTTACAGGTCTGCTTTTATCTGAATCTTATCACAAAATTTAGTAGAAATGTTGTGTAACCTGTCCCCCCTCCACCTGTCTCTTTGTTTTCCTCTTCCTCTTCCCTCTCTCCCTTTTTCACATCCTCTTTTTTCGTTCTCCCCTCACTTGGCCTGCTTTCTCTCCTCTCACTCCATCTTGCCCTCTGTTTCCCCTCTCCTGTCACTCGTCCTTCCCTTGGTTGTCCTCCCCCCCTGCCTGGTGGTGTGGTGGCCAGGTACAGGGACGGTCCAGGGAATCCTCTCAGACACAACTACGATGGGACACTGCGAGACCTGCTGCAATTCTTCAAACCTCGGCAGCCCAAGAAACTTTATTATCAGCAGGTAGGAACAGCTAGAAAACCATAAGATCTCTGCAATGAGCTTTGATGAAGACAAGCTTATAATATTATTATGCAAGATCATTTTTCTTTTCCTACATCTTCAGCCACTCAGTCATTGTCTGATTTGGTTTGTATTTGTGGAGCAAATATTGATATTTCTACTATAATTGAGTGATTAGTTTGTTTTCATTCCAAATAAATCAGTAAATTAGCAGTAATTAACCTTCAGAATCAGTTAAAAGGTTTTCTTTGGAGCTTAAATTTTTATGTTTGAAGGTTTTTGTAGTAAAATTACAGTTTCCTTGAGGGAAATTCCCTAAAGGATTGATGAAGTTTTTATGTAATTAAAGTTGCTGTTGTGGCCACAGTTCAGTCAGAAAAACAAAACTTGTCAGCTAAAATCAATCTGATCACAGGAGGTGTTTTTGTTTTTTCTTTTCTGGTGTTCATGTTGGGTGGGAGCTAAATTTTACTTTTAGATGCTTTCAAATATCAAAAATGAATTTTAATGATAATCTGTGCCTTTTTTTTTTTTTTTTTTTTTTTTGGAGAGTCAGTTTTATCTGCAGTATTTTGTTCCAGTAGAGTTAACGTAGATACCTGTAGTTGAATTTTTTGCAGTAAAGCTGTTTTCACCCCCTTTTTTTGTTACTTTTCTTGGCTGAAATAGRTGAAGTGATCAGGATTGTTTTCTAGTCAAAGGTTTGATTTTTTTATTATTTTTATTTGGTGGTGTTCTCAGGGTTTAGTTAGTGTTTATTATTAGTTTTTGTGCACTCTATCATTAAACGTGAACATTTATAATCTGTTCTGTAAAATAAGCCACCGGCATTTGAGTTTCAAGAAAACTGAATTGCATCAATAATCCCATCATATCCCTCTGAGCTGTAATTGAATCACGGAGCACCTAAAGATTCCCGCCCTCGGCTCATTTACTGTAAACGTGTGCTCTGCAGGGCGAAGCGTGAACACATGATCGGACCTGAGGACTCGGCCATCAAACTGACTTAACATTTTCAAAGCCAAACGTTTGGTTTTGTTTTCTCTCCTGTGTCCACAGTTAAAGATGAAGATAACAGATTTTGAGAACAGGAGGAGTTTTAAATCCATATGGCTCAACAGCCAGTTCAGAGAGGAGGTAAAACACTTTGTGACACAACATAATCAGCTCATGAGCTGTGAATTAGTCAAAGACAATGAAAATGAAAAATATGTTTAGARATAGTTGGCTAAATGTTTGACTTGCAGGAGATCACCCTCTACCCTGACAAACACGGCTGTGTGAGGGACCTTTTGGAAGAATGTAAAAAGGCGGTGGAGCTGTCAGAAAACGGCTCTGAGAAGCTCAGGTACCTTCACCTGCTTCATTAAATGCATCTTGTGCAAAATTTAAAATAAAAAAATACAATATGTCCCTGATGGAAATTCAAAGGATTGCCAAATCATAAACACATGAAACTCATTCAATTAAAAAAGCAGTTGTGTGTTCACAATAACCAACATYTTGAACTCGTTTAATATACTAATAATAAGTATTTTAGTCAAAACTCAGRGGTTTGACCTCACTCTAGCAGAAATAATTAAATTGGTGCTCAACTGAACTTTTTCAGTATAATTTGGGATTTTAAGTACATGTTTTACTGCAACTTTAGATTTTTTTCATGTTTACAGTAGAAAACAAAAACGTTCAGTAAAACCTTTTAAAGTTTAGCTTTGGTGTCGACTTGAATCAGTGCAGACTTTTAATGTGAAGCTTTAAATCTCATCAGATGTAAACGATTTCTGTCTTTGAGCCACATAGAATCATGTTTTATTGTTTGCAGTTTTTTCAGTCCAAACAGAACCTGAACAACTTCCTCACATTTAAAAAAAAAAACTTTTGTTTGTGACTTTAAGTCTTTTCTCTGCTGATAAATTTGTAGATTCTTGTTATCCTCTGTAACGTGTCGCTGTGGTTTGAACCCTCTCCTGTCTTTGCCTGCAGGCTGTTAGAGATAGTAAGCTATAAAATCATCGGGGTTCACCAGGAGGACGAGCTGCTAGAATGTTTATCTCCTGCTGCCAGTCGCACCTTCAGAATAGAGGTACGTGTGTATTTTTGTAGTCCGTCTTTTTTTAAGTGTATTTTTAGCAGCTTTACCTCTCCACTGTAACGTCAGCCTGAAACTTTTGAGCATTTGGCTTTTTAAACATCTGATTTTTGCTGCTTTGGAACTTAAAATATTCCATCTGTTGGACCTCCTGTGCTGCTCGCATCATGTTGTTATTTCACTTTTGTTTGTAAGTCTTTTCTGTAACTGTTTCTTTTCTATTCTTTCTTTTCTTTAGGAGATTCCTTTGGACCAGGTGGACTTGGACAAGGACACTGAAATGTTAATCCCTGTTGCTCACTTCCATAAGGAAGTCTTTGGCACCTTTGGGATTCCCTTTTTGCTCAAGATCCGACAGGTGTGTAGACACATAAAGGTCTGATCGTTTGTCTGGTTCGTTTCCTCCTTTATTCACACCCGCTCCTTCACACCCCCTCCTCCTGCAGGGTGAGCCGTTTAGGGAGGTCATGAGGAGGATCCAGACCATGCTGGACATCCAGGAGAAAGAATTTGAGAAGGTACGCATTATTCTTTGAACCTTCTTTGTTTTACTAAATGTTTTTTTTTTTGTTCTGTTTAGGTGAATTTGACTAAAACCTAATAGAGAGGAAAATGCTTTAGCTTTAATATCATAGTTTTGAACACAGTGTAAAAGAAGCATCACCCCCACCCTGTCCTCCTCCTTTCCTCAGCTGTGAGTTTATTTCCTCCTGTCAGTCTGTCAGCGGCGGTGCTGGGAACGCTGCACAGACCTGCAGAAAGCTGGYGCCTGACAGCTCAGCTTTCTGTTTTCTGTCAGACAGAAGCAGCAGAATCCCACAAACTGAGCAGAGCTCTCCTCTCAGTTTGAAAAAGTTCATAAAAACTCATTCATTCCTCATTTTAGCTCTATTTGTTTATTTTGCTGTGCAAGCAGAAAAACCTTTTGTAACCAAGACATCCAAGACATTAGACGTGTGCACTAAATTTATTAACTTGGTTTCAGACAGTAAAATATTTTTGTCTGTTTTGATTTCTGGTCATTTTTAAACCTTTTCGATTAAAGCTGTTCTCTTTTCTGTGTAGCCACCATGACTGCAGTTGTTTCCTGTGTCTTGTATAATTAATGAAATGGGTTTCACTTTCAATCTTAAATTTGTGACCTACCAAATACTAGGGTTGTCCCGATCTGATATTGATATCGGATATCMGTCCAATATCAGCCAAAAKACGAGCATAGGATTTTATCGGCCTGCATAAAAAATGTCCCATATAAGCAGTCAAATCCAGCAGTCAACTGACTCAGCTCCAGCGTTTCTATCCAGCAGCGCTTGGATCCAGCATGCAGAGGCCACGTGATCACAACAACATGCTGCGCTAACAAAGTAGCAAGAAGTAGGAGCGATGTCGGCAGGACTTTCTATTTTCATCAAAAACAGAGTTGAAGCTAAGTGCAAAGTTTTCACGCAAGAGTTTTCCTTGGGGGAACAGAACCGTGTACGTTTTAAACTGGAGCGACAACCACTCTTGACCCGCTTAAAGGGATCCATGATTAGTTGTAACATTAGACTTTATTTGATAAACATATATTTTAACTGTAAAATAAAGTGTAAACATGCTGTAGGCTGTTTTAGTTTTGTAAATTTTTAAAAAATATTTTAACACTGACAGAACCATTTTATTTACAAGCAAAGCATTCTGGGTAAATGATGACGTGGATAGGTTCTCGGTGTGAGCGAGCTACATCCACCCTGAAGGTTAATCTTGGACAATATCTGATGATCGACTCTTAAATGAAACCAGAGAGCGTTGACAGAGAGGAGAAGGTAGAAATGACTCAGCCTGGAACTGAAAATATAGATGGAGGACAACAGAGCTGCTTCATGGAAGAAGAACCTCAGCTTAGCCTGTTAGCCTTTGGGCTAGCACCGGCGCTATATTGCCTTATTTGTGGTATTATCTGATATCTTATCTGGTTTCTTGTTGATGGTCCGGTATGGTGATAATTGTTGTTGTTCTTTTTTGCTATAATTTGATGTTGTCACATAGCAACATACTGTTTTGTGTTTTTGATGCGTGTACCTCCTGCTGCTACTGCACCTGAATTTCCCTGCGCGGGACAATAAAGGCTGTTTCTATTCTTCTATTCTATGTATTAGCTCGGCGCTAGCGCGACAAACTACCAAGCTAAACTGAGGTCCTCCATCCATATTTTCAGTTACAGGCCGAGTCATTTCTACAACTAATCAGGGATCCCTTTAAAGACACGTCCCAGAGGCGTTTCTGGTCCCCACCTGTTGTTTTGCTCCTCKGCATGGCTGCCTAAAAACGCTGCAGGATTTGTCAAACATGCATGAATGAGTCYYAGCAAGYCTTTGGMCATGTTTTTTGAGAGTATCACATTATTACATGATATAAAACTCAAAGTTGATTTTACATGATGTTGTGCCTTTAATCTGTTTACACACTTGTTTTAGTGAAGATTAAGTGCAATGATTGTGTTGCTTTGGGCACAGTCAGTAAAACTAGCTGTGGACTTTATGTTCTGTACAAAGTTAAATGTGGGGTGTTGTTTTGTCCCCACCTTCAGTTATTCCCAGCATYAAGCAGCACAAGGCTGACGGTAAAAAATAATAATAAATAACTGTAGTGATTTTGAATAGCTATTTTACACTTTAAAAGTACATTTTGTWATTGTTATGTTTTATTTTCAGGGTATTATAATTTATTTTACTTATTKAATTGTATTATGTTCTTCAGTTTAAAATYTATGTGATCCYTTGGTTAAAAATAAATGGGTCAGTTTTTCTCATACCTACTCTTTTTCACTGTTTGACTTGATCAAGACTTTTGATAGAAGATTTCACACTACAAAATAGGTAAAAGTGTGTGATTCYTACTGATATAGTATAGGGTCAACATCAGTATCGGACAGTTCTCAAAGTTGCAATATTGGTATCGTATCAGYAGTGAAAAAGTCYTATCGGGACATCCCTACCAAGTACTCAGAGCAGTTTTAGGATCAGGCTGTTTGAAATCCTTTCTGTCCTGCTCACCCAGCGTTAACCCGACCACAGCTGCTGTTCACTGAGAGCAGCAGCACATCCAGAAGTTTACAAAGTCCTGTTTCCTGTCTGAGTTTCAGTGGAGAGAAGCTGAATGGTTGAAATAATCCTCCTCCTCTCACTCTGTCAGAGCAGAAACCTTACAGGGAGCATGAGAAGACAGTTCTGCAGCTCAGTCTTTGAAATGATGGCAGCTGTCTGCATTTGTGAAACTTGATTTTTGTTTTGTTTTTTGTTCTTTTTGCCTCCCCACTGCTGAAAAACAAGTAATGTTTTTTACCTGTGTTGGTTTGTTAGCTGTGTTAGCTAAATATCTCAAAAAACCAGTGGATGTACAACTTTTGGAGTTGACACGAGTCACCACAGCTACACCTTGTATTAGTAGCTGCAGTAGTAAGACTGCTCATTACTTTTAGATCATTTTAACACTGCTATACATTGATTTTATTTTTACATTTCCCTTCTTTAAAAACATTTTATTTTGCATCGTAACATAGTTTTATGAAAAAGTTGGTCACCAAACTGATAGGAAAGCAATCTTGTGATTCAGTGAATTCACAAAAGTCCTTAAATATGTTTGTTCAGACTGATCTGCTGTTGGGTAAATCATGATTTAATGTTTCTTACAGCTGAGTTGAGTTTTTGTTTGTTCACAGTTTAAGTTTGCGATTGTGATGATGGGCCGACATCAGTACATCAATGAAGACGAGTATGAGGTCAACCTGAAGGACTTTGAACCACAGCCAGGTATTTACTGACCCTACAGCTAATATTACAGACCCTGCAACTGAGACAAACACTGCAACGTGTAATAATAATAATAATAATAATAAGCCACATTTAGTTTTAAGTTAAAACAGGTTGGTATAGACATGTCAATAGAAGGCTGCTTTAATTAAAAGCTCAAACTTTTAGTTTAGTTACACATTAATGATCTTAAAGTTTTACTTGTAGGACTATAATAATAATTTGTTTGGAGATTGAAGAGTCTGTAAAAATATTTTTCAGAAAATGCTCTTTTATTTTGTAAAACAATCTGAGCTCTTTAAACAGATTTGCCAACCAGTGATTTCATCACTGATTATAAAAAATAATTGAACATAGTCAATGTGAGATTTTGCTTTAGGTTAATCAATGTTTTAGGGTTCGATTTTTGAGATACTTTGAGTTTAGGGTTGCAGTTATAAAAAAAAAGCCAAAAAAATAGTGAAAATAACTGCAATAAATGTATTGTTAACGATTGTWTTTAGACACTGAAAACTGAACAAAATCAACTACAAAGTCTGGAAATGTCAGTCTGGGAYATTATGAATATGTAAATGAAAAAATGCACAAGAGCCCTGGTTCATAAATTAGTTTGAGCTAAAGCTGTAAACAGAAATTTATTAGATATTGTCTGACTCCTGTTCTATCACGCTGTCAGATTTTTAGTTTTTGAAACAATTTTGTAAAGAAAAGTTATTTTTAAAAACTATCAGGACTAAATGATGTTGTCTGGATCGTAGTTTAACAGCCTGCTGATGGTGTCTCCTCCACAGGTAACATGTCCCACCCGCGCCCCTGGCTTGGCTTGGATCATTTCAACAAAGCTCCAAAGAGAGGTCGCTACACATACCTGGAGAAAGCAATCAAGATCCACAACTAAAGCAGCCCACCCTTCCTCTTTCGTCCTCATCGTCCTCAAATCCCGCTCCGCCTTGCCCTCTCCTTCCTACTTTAACAAACCATAACCACAGACRGTAACCAACCGTGTGTGTGTGTTTGTGTGAAAGGCTGTTTGGGCGTGTGCTTGTATGTGTGTGTGTCCATCACTGTTAACACCCACCTGGACAGCTCTGCACTGGCACCACGTCTTCAGAGAAACGGGATCTCGCTGCAGCTGACGGATTATTCTTCAACCACAAAAAAACTGCACCAACCACCTCCCGACTTGATTTTGTTGTACATTTTATAGGTTTTTTTTGTTTGTTTGTTTTTTCCTTTTATCCGTCTCCCTCAGTGTTTGGAGGCTGTTCGGTCATCTGCTCTTTTTTTTCCCCCCTGGCTTTTCTACCTGTTCACTGCCTGCTTTTTGTTGCCTGACTGGAAGTGGGAGACATGAAATTAGATTTTAAGCTGAAAGAAGTAACGAGGGAATACTTTGTGTCTTTTCCCTTGTTATTCACTTTTTGTTTTCCATGAGTTTAGGATTTTTTTTTTTAATAAAGATCTTTTTAAAGAGGAATCCTGATGTGTGCAGCATTTGATGAGAGTGTTGGGGAGGACTGAAGAGGGGCCCTGYTGGTGTAAGATTATTTTTTCTGGTGTTTTTTCAGAAGTGGTTTCAAGCTCTTCAAGGTCTCATAGTTTCCTCTCCCATCCTATAGAACAACAAAAAACAGTATTTCCAAGTTTACACCGTTCTTTCTCAGTTTGGTTGGAGGAAAACAAAAGTACATTTGTTCCTTTTATGCAGATCTTGTATAATAAAATAAAAAAAATATCTGCAAAACAGCATCTGTTCAAAATAAATGGAGAAAAAAAAAACGATTTGTCTGTATTTCATCTTGAAAGTTGACACTTAAAGGCTTCTCAGGACTGGCAAATGTACACTTTAGCTGTGATTTGCTTAGTGGTTCTATTATTAGAAACATGCACAAAGTCTGCCCCCTCATAACTTTAGTTTTGCTTTTTTTTTTTAAATTTAAATCCAAATACACCCACAAGCTTCCACCTGCTGACTCTGTTGCCTCCATGTGGTTGGGAGCACCTGCGTCGTTCTTGAGCTGCAGGCGTTTGGAACCAAAACCAGCAAAGTAAAACTAAAAAAACGACAAAAAAAAAAAAGCCCTAAGATTTTATTTTGTTTTGTTTTGAAGCAGAGATGGCATGCGTCCCTTAGCTGGCTCTGTACAAACATTTAAGAATTGTATATTTAAAGAAATATGAACATGTAAAATTTAAGATAAACGCCTTTTCTTGGGTACACAAGGAGCCAGGTGTTCATATTTCTTGTGTGTAGTTATTTTTTTTCTTTTTTGTTCCTGATGTACCATTCATTGACTTTTTTGCTGTTACAGATCTTTTCTTTCATTCTTTTGGTTCTTTTAAAACTTAACTGCAGTGGTTTGTTTAAAAATTTCAATACCAAGATGACCTGCAGAATKTCCTTAATTTGATCGTTTTCCGGTTTAAACTCATCAGTGTAGCAGCAGTGTACAACAACTATTCCTGTATATTGCCTTTTTGCTGGAAAATGTATGTTGAATAAAATTTTCTATAAAACTAACCACACAGCTTCACTACTTGACCACATTGGGGTGACGCACTGAAATATGGGTTCATTTTTCATTATTTTTAGGATGAGAAAAATCATTTAGCTGTTATTGCTGCCTTCTGATTGTAAGGTAAGCAACATATTGAACTTTTTCTGATATCTAAGAAAGGWTGATCAGACTGGGGTGGCACGGTGGCTCAGTTAGTAGAGCTGTGGCTGGAATCAAATCCTGACCATAGAGTTTGTTCTCTCCATGTACGAGTTTTCTCCAGCTACTTTGGTTTCCTCTTTCCTGAAATGTGTCAAACCCAAGGCCCGCAGGCCAAATGTGGTCCGCCGCTTCATTTTATGTGGCCCTCAAGAGCTTTAAAGATGTATTAATAGATTAAAATAAATGTATGCTGCTTTTAAAGTCAGCATTACCCATAAACTTCATATCTCATAATCCATAATTTTACCCATGAAATGACAGCATCRCACCACTAGGTGGTGCAGTGTTCAGAAGCAGCTGGCAGCCAGTGAAATTCACAACAAAATCTACATTTGACTGCATTTACTGGTGCTGTTGCTCAGTTGTACTGGGAAGATGGGATTTCCCACATACAAGTCGTGAATTTCAACTAGAACGACTCAAGTGGGAATTCCCCGCCAGAAAGTGGGAGAGTTGAGAATTCAAGACAGCAGCTACTCACCACAGCTGAACGGTGAGTAAAACTCTACTTTTTTACGTTTAATAGTATTTCCGTATTTTTTTATTTCACATTTATTTAGTCGTACACATAGTACTTTTCAGTGTTTATAAAAGGATGCGTAATAACGTTGAAATTTTTGAATTTTTTTCTAAAACTTCGAAGTTATTAAGTACGCAAAACAGGAAAATCCGTCCAATTTACAGACAATCTGCACAACTTGACACAAAGCCACAGCTAAAAAAAAAAAAAAAAAAACATAATAAACTGACAACTAAATAAAACTTTTATTTTATTATATTTTTTTCCTCAAGAAGAATCCAGCTCCTCTGTCATACAGGTCCTCGCTTTTCCGTTTCAACAAGTCCTTTTCTTTCACCGCCATGAAGCTAACCCTGAAAGTCCAGGCTTTTCTGTATTTTTGCCATAAGTTTAAATTTTCTGTAACTCTGAGAATGTCCGCTCCACATTTACCTTGTAAGAGACTACAGAAATCTGGTTACCTGGTTCTGACTTGTCTGATCAGCCAATCAAACAGTGTGAAAATGTTGACGCTTTGCCTCTTCGTTCTGAAGGCCTGAGGCAGATTTGTGGACCCTAGCAACAGATGATGCTTGAAATATGATTGGATAAAAGCTCTAAATAAAAACAATCTACTGCTGCGCAGCCAGGTTAAAAGCTATGAAACGAAGAGAACAGATATTTCAAATATAATTTTATCCTAATAATAACATTAATAATTATTATAATAACTATAAAATATTCTAAAATATAAACTAGTGATTCTGATCGTGTTTCGGCCGGCAGAGACGGCTTTGCGGGCCCTGATGGCAGACCACCGAGTGACGCCCACCACTTGGGAAGCGAGTAAAGATAACGGATAGATGATCAGACTTGTTGGGAGGGGGAAATAAACAAAAAAAGCCCACTTTGGGGAAGAAAAGAGTTTGTTTAGAGAACAAAAATAGCACAAAAAAAAAAACAGCAACAACAACAAATAAAATGAAACTAAAGTTTTCTTCTTTGCATGCATGTGGCCTCCAAGGAGACACTGAGGGAATTATTTTATTTTGCATTTCCACACAAAAAATTGTGCAGAATAGCAAAGCTAACAAATTCTTGCAATGACTGTGTTCTCTTCTYCTAAGTGTTATTGTTAAATCAACAATCCCTGCATGGAAATGACTGCAATAATTATCTTGTCACGCAATTTATTTTCAATCCAATGTCATCAGATGAGCTCCACAGCATTGTGAAGTAATGCAAAATTTAAAAAAATCTCCCGTTGACGACTTGGGGGCTCTGTGGCTTCAATTGTTTGACTTTCTTTTTTTCCACCTTAAGTCGAGACACAGAGCCGACTTGATGTGACCAAAAAAAAAAAAAAAGAAAAAAGGCTGAAACGTTGGAGTTTTGCATTAAATGAACAAGTAGACGTCAATCTGAATTTAGGTTCATGCTTCTTTAAATAGAAAATGAAAGAAAAAAACTGCATAAAGAGAAACTCTGTAAGGACCCACAAAATAATTGTATGATCTACTTTTATTGGAGAAAKGTTGGGAGGACAGTTTACTAACATAAGCTCAGTTTCATCCAGGAAGAGCAGGAAATAACTTTGTTGGAGAAAAAAAAACCAAAACACAAAACATTTATTTCAATGTGTCTTTATTTTTGCACTGTCCCTTATACTGTTTTAAATGAATATAATATTTCAGACACTCCTGTTTGGATGTAAAGATGAAAAGAACATAAATGAAATTCTTATTTACATTCATATGCGACAACTCTTGTGCTATATATGTAGAAGTAATGTTGTTTATCCACCCTACATCAAAATGAAAAGGTTGATTATCCAAATGGCCTTATTTAAAAACATTTGTTTCTAACTCTAAAGCTTTATTTTCATGTATTTTGTACTGTGCAACGTGTATATTTGTATATACACATCACAGCAAAGTAAATACTTTTATAAAATATAGATATTTAGCTGGTTTGTATCATAAAAGACATGCATTTAAAAGATGGACAGTCCTTTCAAAAAGCAAGTGGATCCGTTTAGATTTTAAAACCCTTTTAAACATAAACTACTAGATAAAATCTATGTACAAGCCTTCATTTTAATGTTCGAAAAAAATTATGAATGTTGTAACAGATTWAAAAAAAAGGTGCATGGAGTGTGTGTGAACCAGAGGTTGAGACATTTTTCAGCACAAGGTTTTTTTTTTTTTAAAACCTCTGACAACACAATCACCCCCCCAGCACGGTGGCTAAAAGAAGCAGACGCAGCGAGGAAGTCGTTCAGTGTCTGATTAAAACAATGGTCGGTCCATAAAAATAAGCATCAGCAGCATCAGAATCTGGCACGGCAGCCCGTTCTTCATCAAGTCACCCAACGGCTGAGAAAGCTGACAGGATGTTGTGTGTTTTTCTTAAAATATTATTTTTATGGGTCCATTTTAGTTCCTCCTGTTCGTTATTTGCAGCACTGCTTCTTCTCGACGTGCAGGACTTTATTGCAGCGTGGACACGTGTGGTACGCATCTTTGAAGCTGTCGAGGAAGAATGGAATCAGGCAGCAGCACAAGAATAACCTGTAAAACACAAAAAAACAGCGTTATTTCAACCAATCATCTTATTTTTGTTTTAAACARTATATATTAGTCAATGTTGTTTGGTTTATGGGCTTCCTCAATAGGTATGTTGGCTGTGAGAGCAGCAAAACATAATGTTGAGTGATTCAACTGAATTACACAGGGGGCCACAGTTATTAAACGACAACAGCTCTGAAAATAGCTAAGATTTAAAATCTTATTTTACAATAAATGAAATCATTGGCATAGATCATCTAACTGTATAAAAGATAAAATATAACTCAAGTTTAAAAAAAATGTAATGAACTCATCGATGGGCCAGACTGATGTCACCCACGTACCGGAAATGGCCCGCGAGCCACCAGTTGAATAGCCTTGCTGTACATCAACTTTCCAACATACAAGACCTACTTATTGTTAATCTAAGCTAACAAACATTTTTGATGTATGAAATGCAAAAGAAGTGCAAAGAGAAAATAAAAGAAACGCCCAAGCTGCTGCCAGTGGCCCGTTTAGGGTTACCATGATAACCACACACCGTATTCTCTCACTCCCTGACAGCACTCTTAATACGACAGAAACACCAACTGAAATGTAAGCCTCAAATAGTCACGATACAAAAAGCATTGTTGTCTTTTGTGCAAAGTGGAACTTGTTTGCAGTGTTTTGTGAGCTCAGATATAATGGAAGTCAACATGCTCACTCTGTGTGCGGCTTCAAGTTTTAATAGTGTTAACAAAAAGAGTYAAAAGAGTTTGTTTGCAGAACATTTGGAAAGTTGGAGTGCGTGACATCATCACACCTTGTGCTAAAACCGAGTAAACACTGTGAAACTTTGTGTAAAAACTATTAAAAAAAAGATCAAAATGCTGGRTTGTTCATTTAAAGTCCAACTTTCTGTGATTTTGATTAAATGTCGAACAATTTTTCTGATGAGCAATGGCCCTGAGAAAACTTGTGCACATTTTTGTAAATTTTATATGCTTTACGCAGGGGCGCCACCAAGATGYGAGGTGTAAGGGGGCAGTGACCACCTCAAAAAAATAACAATAAATAATTTAAATAATTAAATAAATAGTGACCCCGCTTTAGTTCTTAGTTGTMTCTCCTTGAGTCCCAACCTGCTAAACCTCCTCAAAACAAACGTTATTTCTGTTTCTGTTCAACCAAAAGTTTTTTTCCCTCCTCTCGGAGCACACCTGTAACATCAACAAGCCGTCACCCACTCACCCGCAGCAGATGAAGAGTAAGCACATGAGCCAGGCGTACGTCCCTGCCTTATAGGTGACATTAGTCATGACCTGCTGGTTGCAGCTGCTGCAGGTGGTCATGCCAGGGTTACGTCCCAGCCCCACYTCGTAGCTCACATAGTTCTTTTTGGACTCCCCAGGGAGGCGTTCCGAGCCTACACCTCCCCCTCCACTGGTGAACACTGCAGAGAGGAGACGGACGGTCAACAATTAGCTACGCTGAACAAAGACATTAGCGTTTCAAAGGTAGCATGCACCAGCTTTCAGCTTGGTGGTGCTGTGAGGCTTCGGCTACTTTTGAAGACCAAAATGGTAAATATACGCAGCAAGATGCAAACTGAAATAATGCTAATGCTAAGCTGCTTTGTTAGGCGGCTGTAAAACTTTGCACACAACAACAGTGCTGTTTAATGGGGAAAATTAAAAATCAAAATACTGGAATTTAAATGTACACAGCACTAATTTAATTSATTTTTTATTATTTTTGTTCATTAAGCTTCCTGCTGCTTTTAGCTCAAAATGGCCCATGTCACCTTTGGGGTCTGCAGAACCCTCTGCACCCCTGCTTTGTGTGTGTTTGTGTGTGAGGTTACCTGGCTTCTCCTGAGCAGTGGCGACTTGCTGTGAGGGGGGAGGCGTGAACGGGGTGTGCACGTGGTAAACCTTCACTCCGTCAGTCCCCTGAGTTTCTACTGGGCAAAAGATAAAAGAAACACAAGAAGGGATTAAAGACAGAAACAAGAGGGTGACGGTAACGGTGTATGTGTGTGAACGTGTGTGTGTGTTAAGTCGTACCTGGGATGAGGTAGGGAGGGGGGTTGGTTGTCCCTGGTGCACTCATAGTGCTGTACAGTGAAAGAATAAAAATAAGTTATGATGGGCAAATTTGGATAAAATACACCACAATCCACTTTTTTCCTGTTTGTTTGTCATGTAATGCTGCTGTCTGCCACTAGATGGAGACAAACCTCACAGACGGTGCTAAAACTCAACCTCCTCTGAAAGGCCCTGATGACAGTTTGTGTCAACCCTGACTGTCACATATTTGGGASTGATGGATTAGTCTGCCCCGGGGCTGAGGTCCGCTGCATTGTTCGGATGTTTCGTGTCAGCATCCCCAGGAAACGCCTGGGCGAGTCCATCAGGTTGGCATGTTTCAGGTGTGGTCGGTCACTGAAACTACTTATTCCAGTCTCTTTGTGCCGAAACAAATACTTTCCAACACCAATGTTTGCAGACAGGGAGTTCTTTGTTGCATTTATAATCCTGTTTTTTTATTGTGCGTTATGAGAAAAGTCCTGTTTGATAAAACATCAAGGAACATTTTAGCCCACCCTTTTTCTGTTGCTTTTCAAAAAAAAAAAAAAAATACAATGTTCTCCTGTTTGATGTATTTAGTATAAAGTTAAATAAGCAACACAAGACGTATCATCTTTTTTACGCTTCAGAAATAATTTTAACATATAAATACTTGCTCTTATACTAAAAAAGCCCAAATACTAATTTTTGATGTTCATAATTCACATTGAGGAGGTCTAAAATATAAGTTTGGATGAATTTAATGTTATAAATGTTTATTTATTTTTAATATTGAACCTTTTTGCGGCCCCTCTTCCCAACGTTATTCTGAAATGTTCAACTCTCAAGCTGGTCAGTCCTTTTTTAGTAAAACAATTGGTCAAAAAGGATGAAATGTGATGCAGCGTTGCTTGATTTGTGATAAAAACACCATAAACCTGTGTAGGAAGCACGTTTCAGGCAMTTCTGGAGCTTAAGTTTACTTTTGTGCATTTCAAGGTTTTGACAACTATAAAAAATACTGTAATCTGTGAAAAAAATAACGAAAAGGGAAATCTTCAGACAAATGTGCTAGCTGAAGACTTGAACCCATATATTTTAATAACAGCACCCTTTACATCAGAAGTTAGTGCGGTTAATCCCTAACCTACAAGTAGAGATTCATGCATGCTTTTTTTTTATTATCAAATTATAACGCTGATGCACTAAAAACAAAAACCAAGTAAAAAAGGGGAAATAAATATAGAATCCTATTCTTCTGTCAGTGAGAAACATTGAAATATCTTCATCTCATTATAAATCAATGCAAACCTCGAACAAGCAAACTTAATAACCAGATAAGACAAAATGATTTGAAACCATGTTAAATATTTGAGATCTGAAGCAAAACTGAAATTAAATTAAGAAAGTACTCAAAACCTAAAGATATACCTGAAAATGATCGAAAGAAAATATAATTTCACACAAATATCTAATTATGTAGTATGATTTATTATAGGATCTGCACTAAATACGTAATATTTGTGCTCTGTTCGTTTTTAGACAAAAAGCAACTCTTTCTTTGAGAGACATAAGTGTTCATTTTGATAAATGATAATTTGATTTGTGAAAACAGTTTGATTATAAACATATGATTTTCATTTTCTTTCTTTTTTCTTCATAATGAAATCTAAAGCTAAACTTTTCCCAAACAAGCGTTTTGACCAGGATTTTATTCTACAACGTTCCAGCCAGCCGAATTTTTCTCCCAGGACACATACCGCCCTCATGTCCTGTGGACGAGACAAAAGGCGGGCTCGTAGGTCACAGAGTTCTTCACTGACTCAGAACTCTCATCAGTGTCCTGAAGCTGTTCACGAGTTTRAGGGTTGTTTTATCGCCCCCTACTGGTCGGTCATTGCCAAGCTTTACGCAGAACTGTAGCTAATTTTAAAAATGGATAAAAATTCACGCCACTACTAAAACCTATTATATTTTTTTGATGGTTTTGCCTTTAAAACCCAACAACACCCATGGAAAAAAAAAATAAAGTAAAATCTACGATTGCTCCGACAACTCCAGTAAAACACCCTGGTCTGCACGTCAATGGGCACACAGTCTGGTTTGGCGAAAAGACGATTTCCCTGTCATCARCATTATTTCGTAAGACGATCATTCTGGCCTCGTGGGACCTGCTTCCACCCATGAAGCGGTGGAGGAATGTGACGGAGCAGCATGTTTCTCTGTCACAGACCGAGGGTGTGTCGAGAAAAAAAAAAAAAACAACTGGTATGAACGCAAACACTAAATCTCTTAAGATTTGAGGAGTYAAATTGTGCTTTTGAATGTATTTGACAAAGGGATCCTCTGTGTCGTCTGTGAGATGTGAGATAAGTGGTGGCCCAGTCTACCATCAGCCCCGCAGACTGGACCGACCAGGAGGGCTCGTTTCAGGTTTGTCCAGTAAAACTGGTGTCATGTAGAAACATTCTCAGGGTCCTGACATGTTTCATTTCTGTGCCTTTTTGCTCTACTGATGAAATGAGGAAGGCACCAGGACTCCTTTCTGGATGTCTCATCTGGTTTTGACCCAAGGGCAGCAGGAGGGTAAAGAGTTCTGACTTCATGAACAATAACAAATCTCACCCCGAGTTCTTCAAAAACTATAAAACAGCTTCTAGACGAACAAGTTTTTCAGTGTTTAGACATCAGAAAAGCCTTCTGATACTAACAAACATTTTTCTCACTTTTTAACGTCCCAAAAAGCATCCAAAGCTCAGGCGTGGTCTGACCCAAGATTTCAAATCTGTGCCAGTCAAACAGAAAGACAAATGTGTGGGGGTTTGTTGTTGTTGTTAATGATCAGCTGATGACTGAAGTGAGGGTATAAAGTTTAACTTGTCTCTCATCACTTCAGAAATTGTAAAAGTTCTCCCTCAACACAAAAAATATGAGTGTTTTCTTTGCAGAAACATTGGGTGTTAAACTAAAGTTAAAATTAAAATAGGTCAGGTTTGAATTAAAATAATAAACTTCCTGCTTACGTTCTCATGTTTGTCAGGAAAATCAAGTTTTGACCGGTTTTAAAACATAGTTTTGTATCTGACCCAGATTCTACTCTGCTGGTTTGATTCATTTTCTTGAATCAGGTTGAAAACAATGTTGAAAATGTGCAAGTTGGCCGCAATTAACGATCCAAAAAGCACAAAAAGTGAAAACAATTAAGAAAATAGTGTGCTAGAAAGCTGCTGTTGTTAAAAATTGAGTCACGCAACCTTGTAAAAAACACCAAGAAACCAAGGTTTTTCCTCTTCGTATCAGAGATTTTGTGAGAAAATCCAATGTTTGTGTGAAGTTTTCTAACAAACCTTTGATTCCCAAAACAAAATCTTTTCACACATGTTTGCATTCTTGCGGTCTTACCTTGGCGCTGTGTTGTGGTGTGTCTGCAGAGGTCAGTGTGTGTGTGAGCTGCTGTTGCTGATGGGGACTTCTGACAGATTGAAGCTGAGATGATGACCTGTCTCACCTGTATGAGCCTCACCTCAGGACCCGCCCCCTCCTTCTCCTCCTCCTCCTCTCAGCCCTGCCCTCAGCAAAACAAAGAACAAGCAGCAGGAATGCGTCACACAGACCTTTTTTTTTTTTTTGGATGGAACAGCCTGTACCGCCCCCCCACCCTCCTGTGTTTAACTTGCTCGCAGTTTCTCAGAGATTATTCAGGGAGTGGATTTGTTCGCCACTTCCCCTTGTGAGGAAAAACCTGTTCCCTCCGGAGGCGAGCAATTTTGAGTCGGTACCTGCAGTCATTGAGAAGCACAGTGACACACACATCCACAGTTTTGCCTCCCAAGAATTCAAAATATGACCACTGACAAACCCTGCAGAAAAATGACATGTTTAACATTTTGTTCTTAGATGATCTGTAAAAATACCATCATTTATGAAAAAAAATAAACTCATAAATCAAATCCTGACTTTACACCTCTAAGGCTGGAGACGTAAATGTAGATTATAAAGAGAAACAATCTGAGTTTTGAATTTTAAATATCAACTAACTTGACTGAAATTTCAAGAAGATAATAAATATATCATATTTCATCATAAAAAAGAGTGAAGCATCATTTAATGMGTCATTATATGATGCAAAGACATGCAAATTACTAATCTCTTACAATAAAGCCCCGTATTGAATATTTCCTAYGCTGCAGTATAGTACTTTAAAGGCAAGCCCTGGCTTAAAAATAAAAGGACAGCTTTTAAACACATTTATAAACTCAGTGAACACAAAATAAAACTAGATTTTATCCTTTAATGTCATGTTTCTCTGTCTGGAATTAGATATTTGTGTAAAACATGTCTTAACTGGTGTTTGAAATTTTGAATTAAAGACAAAACCCACTAAAATCTGTCCTTTACATTGATTTAGGGGCGGCAGTGGCGACAAGTGTTCATCCTGTAAWTGGTGGGTTGTCGGTTTGAACCCCRGTTCTGTCTGCRYCCTTGCKTGCWGTTGGTGGTCAGAGGGTCCGGTGGCACCGGTGCATGTCAGCCCCACCTCTGTCAGTGTGCCCCAGGGCAGCTGTGGCTACGTCAGTGTGTGAACGACTAGTGTGGAGCTCTTTGGAGTCCGTAGGTAAGGTAAGAAATAAAAAATGTAAACTGAGATTCTGRGGAAAGGTTATGAACAACTATTATCTTACCTGTTGTAGGTAACAACGACTAGTCTGAGCTGAGCCAGGACCAAAGTGGACTGATGGAGTCCTTAATAAAAAAATAATTTGAGTCAGTCAGATCACAGAACTACACTAAGTACTTCACACGTCCACTTAATCATTTTTACTCAGACTAATAATAACCTAAACTTATATAAAGTAGGTTTTGTGAACAATTCTGGAAATGTTTAGGCTTCATGTAACATGAACTCATTTTGTAATAGAAGTTAGGTTTTCTTTAGCCTATGCTCTAAATTGTTAAAGAAAACATAATATTAATAATATAAAATAATATTATTGTTATATAATATCATAATGAGGATTGATTTTCAGTTTTATTGGTAATTTTGTGAATGAGTGAGTAAATGGTTGTCTGTCTCATTTGTCTTTATGTGATGAGTGTCCAGGTTGTCCAAGGTGTCCCCAGCCTGTCACATAGTGACGGCTGGAGACAAACACCAGCACTTTGTACAAAAAAAAAAATGGATGGACAGTATAAAAAAAGTGCTAATATTTCATATTTTCGCTTGAACAAAAGTCGCCAAGATTGGAGAAGCAGRATTCAGCTTCTGTGCGCAGCAAATCTGGAACAAACTCCTAGAAACCTGTAAAACAGTCAAATCTCTGAGTTCCTTTAAATCAAGACTGAAAACCCACCTGTTTAGAGTTGCTTATGAAGCATTATAAATGAAACATTAAATAACATTTAGATGTGTAACAATAGCACTTGACAAGCTTRYGTTGTMAACTGTGTTCRATGACTTTGTATTTTTTYTTTTTWTGWTGCAAAGCACTTTGAACTGCCTTGTTGCTGAAATGTGCRATTCAGATAAATTTAACTGATTGGGTTGATTTATCSCTGAGTGCATTTAGGTGGACATGAGCATAATTTTACAACAAAATAAATGTAGCATCTTTGTTTTCCAATTTTCGTGTCACTCAGATAACACTAACCTGAGGACCTACAGTAAGGAGATGAAGTGTGAGTTTGGGTGTTGTCGCTTCTTGATGCAAACTGGGCGAGGTGATTGTGTGGATCTGTTTCGATCAGCCAGATGAACAGCATTCCTAGAGCCGAGCCAACCCCCACACAGTTTGGTATTCAGTCCTCCAGGGACCAGTAGGCCATCAATGAACCTTAAAATTGTTTAGAAGTCCAAGTTTTGGCTGTAAAATTGTGTAAATCAGGAATTTATTAAACTGATAGACACATAATAATAAATAATACATAAAAATAGGTTTTTAGAAATGGAACCAGGTAAAATGTATTTGTTTCTTCATAGATGAACCATAGATTTCATGTAATTACAGTTTTTTATGCCACCAGGTTCACATGACTACGAACTTCTTTTTGACCATAAAATKAAGATATCTGCTACATTAGTTAACTTGAAACAGCCAAGACAAAACATAACTGTCAGGCTTTCCAAAATAGTAAAGGCTGTTATCTCATTTAACTTAACAGAAGCCATTTTCTCATAGAATCACCTGGGAATACTTAGAGATTCAGATATTATCAGCAGTTGTTTTTCCAAAAATGCAAGACGTGAAACATTATACAGTATCTGTGTGAGAAATCTGCTAATCTGCTAATGCAAAAGAAACAAGCTGGGAAAATATGGTTAATGAGGACAAAACATATATGAACGACAAGTTCAAAATTACACTTAAATATGTATATGTATATATATATACAGTACATATATGTGTATACATGCATTTCAGTTTATGTTCTTGATTAAACTCCTCCCAAAGTTTGGTCGGGCCGTTATAGATTCTTATGTTTTTCTTACATCTAACCTTCTTCGCGTAACATTTTTGTGTTGTGGTTCAGGCTTTCTGGAATTTCATGTATCTCCAAGGGTGTGTTTTGGTTGTCCCAAAAGATTTCTAGCTCTTAAGGATGAGTTTTGGTGATACGTTAGTGTCGTCTGCATATAGTTAAATATAAATAGAATACATATTGAAGTAAAAAAAACACAAACAAACAAACAAACAAACAAACACAAATATTCATGTTAAGCTTTTCTTAGTTGTTGACTGTTTTTCTTTAGTTCACTACACAGCTGTGAGGATTTAATGGCTGTAATTTTCCGTTTGGGGGATGTTCATAACCAACCCAACAACCACTGATCATAACGTAAGGAACGATAGAGAAGCAATGTGGGTGTGGTCAAAAAGATAAAAATAGTCTGTGACTCAGCAAACAAAGATGGTAAGGAAGCATCTATCATATCTTCGTTGTCATCTTCTCCGTTCATCTTTTATCTCTGCCATTGGTTTTTTTTATATGTATAATCTGTTTATCTTTGTGCTCGACTTCATGTTTTTTGGTTTGTAATTTGGAAGTTGATGCAAAAGTTGAACTCCCGATTGGACACAGGTGCATGTTTCTAACATGCAACAAATGTAATGTAATTAACCAAAACTTCTGCAGCCAGTCCAACTTCCTGGCATAGCTTTAATGTAAACTTTACCTTTCAAATTTCCCAGAACCGCTGACAAATTTTAAACATGTTCTTGCAAACTGATTGTGACGTGACGCACAGATCTGTCACTCTAAGCAATGCATACCTCACATTGCAACATGTATCACTTTATTTTTTTTATTATTATTTTTGGACTACTTAGGTTTTACTGGATATAAATATTCCAAGAATGTGTCCTGTCAAACAAGCTCCATGTTGGTTTCCTGGTATTCAAATGCTTGCTGCTCTGACATAATCCTTCCAGATTAGATTAGGTTTCYAAAAGAGAAAAGAACAAACTCTTCTTTCAAAGCYATGCATAGCTCATCAGGTGACATTWGATGTTATTTGCAYTATTTYCTTTAAGTCTATGTTTTGTTGGRTCAAATGMTCTCAGGTTCAATTGAAAGAAAATCCAGAATATCATCTAAATATTAAAAAGGCTATGAGATTTAAAGAAAAATGTTCTGTGTGCTGATACAGAGGGTGCTCCTAACCTAAAGGAACCTGTGGCCAGGAACAATTGAGACAAGATCAAGATTCAGCTGCCAAATGTGCTGTGTTCCAGTTGCAGCAGGATTTGGAAGAAGTCAGACTGACATCTGTTCTGAGTTGAAAGCATACCAGTTTCCAGCTTGTCAGAATGTCAGGGAAAAAGAATTTCTACAGTATTTTAGGCTCTGACTGAYTAATGCAGCAAWAACACAACAATATCTCTATGCYGCATTTTGAGTGTACAAATAGCATTAAAACATATCGCCAAATAATCGCTATAAAGTACTACTTTATGTACTGACTRAATGTAAAGTAAACAACAACAACGAACTGCTAAAAAACGTAAAAGTAGAATTTCACTCTGTATTGAAGTGAGGAGCAGCCATGTTGAAATGATGACGACGCCTGTTTGAGTATGGTCATGTTGCACTGACTTCTTGATACAAAACTATGACATTAGGGGCTGCTCCAGTTAATATTTCCGACTCAGAAGTCCAAAATTTTGACCTTCGAGGACAACTGGAATGCAGCAATATTGACAAGAAAACAACTCTTTTAAAAGAAAAAAGAGCTTGCAAAAGGCAGACTGAACCTTATATATAAATAAAAACATGAACCTGCCATGAGCTCATTGGTATTAAAGCAGTAAATGACAACAAACCAACAAGAAGTAAAGGAAGCCAAGGTGAAAGTAGTAATTAATGATAAAGTGAAAGCAGGTGTGCTGAGGAAAGAAGCCCAGAACAAAACAGTCTCTACAAAATAAAACAGGAAGTGAAGCTGGTGAAACAGGAACAGAACTACCTAAAACAAAACTTAAATCCAAAATTTTAAAGAACAAAACCCATCAGGTTGTGTTTCTAACCTTAAACTGGTTAGTCATCGACAATYATGGTTTTTCTACTCTTTCAACCATTATCTGTCATTTTGGTCAGGATCAGAATGAGAGGGTTTGCAATCTAAACCCAGCTCATCAGTCTATGTCAGGACTAACACGAGGAGAAACTACAGACAAACYTTCACATTCAGGGCAATTTCTAGAGTCAAGTTAGGCTAACATGCCTGTTTTTAAATTGTGGAAAGAAAAAAAACAAAGTAACTGGAGAAAACCCATGTCTGCAAACTCCGCACAGCTCAAACTTTCAACTTTCTTGCTTTTACAAAGSACTAAGCACATTTCCGCCTAAATTTAAATGGTAAAAATTTAATTGTCCTGARGAAACAAAGTAGGAAACTTCAGGACTGCGAGAAGAGCCTGAAGTCTTTAAAGACCTCAACTGACTTCTGCTGAGCTGACAGCACAAACAACTTACGCAAATGTATCCTAACGCCTCAACTACACGCCTTCATATTTTCTGACRAATTAAAAAATATTTTCAATTGGTGTCATGAGGCGAGGTTGATTCTTCCTTCTTAGAGCTTCAAATGTTGACGAAGCACCAATACTGCACAACTAATTAAAATAACCTACATTTTATACAAGTTAAAATGGGATGCTCATGCACTATGTCACAGTTAATGTTGAGCAACTCAAATGTTTCTGGAGTGCTGTGCATCGTCAGCTCTGAGTCAGACTCAGAGATTTTAACAATCAGAACTAAACTGAAGCCTTGGCTGGGTTTTTAAAGCACACCTAAACCGGCTGGTATCAGATTTAATCACCTAACCTGTAAGTTAACACAGTAASTGAATCTTAGCAAAGTTTGCAGAATGTTATTTTCTTTAATTAAAAGCTTTTTACAGTAAAAATGTTGCACATAGTCATAACCGAAATGATTAAATCAGACAATCATAGTTCCTTTAAGCAAAATGGAACCAGAACATCAGTCTGTGTAACAATTCAGCTCGCTGCCATTAATGCTTCACTGTATAAAAGAAGTGCAAAGTTAGTACCTTAATTTACTGTATGAGTGTATGTATATAACATTATAAATAAAGTAAAATACAGAATGAAACTCAATTAGATGTATTTATCAGTCTTATGAAGTTCTGAGAAATATTGTGATCCAGTAGTCAGATTCTAAACGTCAGGGTTTGATTTACAGTATAAATGGTGTCAAGTATTCAGTAATGAAGTTCGGTATACACAGAAGTACTATTATAGTACACAGTTTATAAAGTATTAGTGTGAAAACAGATACTATAAAATAAAATGGTGACATAATTTATGTCTGAGGTTTCTGTGGTGAGTTTATGTTTCAGCTTTCTATTCAGTTTAGAGTAGGGCCATTCAAATGGTGGCCTATGGGCCACTTCTGGCCTGCAGGTGACTTAAGACCGGCACACCAATGATATATATATWTTTTCTTTTTTTAAGACCTAAATGATAACAATAGATGTTATAGATGATCTGTGACAGGGCTATACAACTATCCATGCTAATGACTTCATTTAGTATAAAGTTAGATTTTAAATAAAAACAAAATAAGTAAATTGTATTTCTTTAACTGCTGGATGCCTGGCTCCTGAGCTGTTGGCTTTCAGTAACTGTGACCCCCCTGAACAATTTAGTTGAATAGCCCTGGTTTAGAGACACTAGTGGGCTAGTATTAATGGATAATTTAATTATTTTGTTGTGGGGTTTTATGGAAAAGATAAGAAAATTTATTATCTTACCTGTTGTAGATAACTCTTAGAACGACCGGACTGACAATCTAGCAGCTAGTCTGAATATTTAAGCAGATCTGTGTTGTCTGAAAACAGCTCTAATATATCCATTTTTCTATACGTTCATGCAAATACTATTTCATAAACAGGTTATTACAGGTAACATATTTATTGTTCACAACTGCTCCACAGAACCCCACTTTAAAACATCTGTATTATTCTTTAAAACCACAGTGGTTCCACTGATACAAACTATATTGTGGCTGTTAAATTTGTTTTATATGTCTTATACAAAATGTAAGTGGATTTTTTTTCAGTTTTTTTTATTGTAATGTAAAAATTTTGCAAATATTTTACTTTGTTTAGAAAGGACTTTGAGTAGAAGTCAGTTACTTGTAAACTCTCTAACCTCCATGGAAAACCCCATACCGTGACCTGGATCTGGGTCTTGGTAGAACTGGTTTTAGTCTGCTGAGCTCAGCCTGACATGAGTTATTTTCTAAGAAAGTGCAACATTTAACTTAATACCTGTAATGTTTAAACAGTCCTCAAAAATACACTTCTTATTTTCAAGCTAAGACACGTAAATCACTTCTTTACGGTCTTATTCAGAGGTTCAGCTCGACAGTACGCTGGGATGACTGTCTCTGATGGTGAACGTGCGTCCAGTCCTAAAGTAGTTCTCTATTTCCTCCAGCGAGCGGTTGCGAGTCTCTGGGATGCACACGGCGTTGAACAGTAAGCAGAAGACACACACCACGGTGAAGATCAGGTACGGGACAAACAGGCCATAGCTGTCCACCAGGTGAGTGAAGGCGTGAGTGAGACCAAAGGCCGTTAACCAGCTGACGGTGACGCACAGTCCTGAAGCCACGCCCCTAGTAACCAGTGGCAGCACCTCTGACATCAGCAGCCATGTGATTGGTCCCCATCCCATAGCGTAGCCTAAGAGACAGTCAACAATGTGAGGACAAAGCTCAGGACCACAGTTTGTATTTATGTCACTGGATTGGGTGTGACAACTTTCCAACCAGTTTCACCAGACAGGGTTTAAGGTGTTTGAATGTGTCACTGTGTAACAGACTACCTGAGGACACGACTGACACACTGTACAGTGAAACCATATTCTGATTAAATACAGTGATATGTGCTTGGCAGGTTAGTGAAGCCATAAACCAGCGGAAATTATTATAATTAATGTGCATTTATGAAAGAGAGAGGATAGGTGTAACCTTTTAAAATGATTATTTAATTACTAGATGCTGTGTGGGGTGTTGGTAGGGGTTCCTTTAGATATCCCCTTTAAAGATTTTAATAGAAAATGTTTAAATATAGATAGATGAACCTGATTAGTGCTTGCTAAAATGCAGTGTGAACACTAAACAATTAAACAACAGCTAAATTTTGGTAAGTTAAGTGAGTTAAAGCTAAAAAAAGCAGACTATCAAAAAACTTAAAGGAGCACAACACCAGCTAAAGGCTAAAATAAGCTAAATGTTCATTAAAAGCAGCAAAATTCTACATACAAGCTAAAAGAAACAAAAGGCTAGCCAAAAGTAGCTAAATGCTAGATAAAAGCCAAATGTAGCAAAAATAATAGCTATAATCTAAGTGTAGACTAAATTTAGCTAAAAGCAGCAAAAAGCTAGATAAAAGTTAAAAGTAGCAAAATGATAGCTAGAAGCTAAATGTAGRTTACGTTTTTCTGAAAGCCGCAAAAGGCTAGCTAAAACCTAAAGTGGTAGAACTGTAGCTAAAAACAAGTAGCACAAGACAACAAAAAGCAGATGCGTTGAAGCATATTTTATAGTGATTTTTAGCTTTTAAATAATAAGAATAACAGTTTTGTTGCCACAGCTGCTAAGTTTAGCTTATGTACTTTCATCTATGTGTTCTAAAATCCATCGTTTACTCAGTCACAACTTAAGGTTCATTATGATTTAAATCTGTTTTCATGGATGAGCTTGATGAAAACACTTGATGCTTTTCAAACAGACTGGCTGTTTTTGGAGCAGGATGTGTCCTGGACCTGACAAGCCAGAAGCTACATTGATGTTGGTGTCCAGTATGTAACTAAAAACACAAATGTGCACCAGTGTAAAAAAAAGATGAATTCTTAAACTGACAGCTAACTTACCAAATATGAACACCACAGTGCTGATGACAGGCAGTAGGRTTATAAGAGAAGGCTGACTGGACTGTAAGACGCTGCCCAGCTCATTGTGGGAGCTGTAGCCCAGAGCAGTAAGGTTATGAGGAACAGGGCCTGGAGGGCAGGCTGGGGTGTGGGAGATCATGACCAGGGTCAGAGAGGACAGAAACATCAGCATGCTCGAAGTGTACAGCAAAGCTTTGCGTCCCGCCTTGTCCATCAAACTGGCTGCTACAACAACAGACAGCAGCCGGACTGCACCTACAATGGCAGCGTCAAACCTAACAGACACGAAACAAAAACAGGACAGTGACTGGAGCAGGTGGAGCAGGCCGACTGGACATCAACAACAATCTGGAAAACAAATAATCATGGATTGACATTTATACAAAGTGTCTAACCTTGGCTCCAGAGAGACGTTACTCTGGGCAAAAATGGGCTCCAGGTAGACTAGAATTGGCGTGATGCCCGTCATCTGCTGCAGGAAACGCATCACCACTGAGATCAGGATTGGTTGATAATAGATCGGCTTGGCCAGCAGAGCCCAGGTGATCCGTACTTGTGTGTCGATGCTGTGCTGCATGGGTTGGGCGATACAACACAAATTTTTTTCAGGGAAACACATATAATTTCTTTGAACTTGACAAGACCCATTCATTACAGGTGTAACAATATATCAGTCCTGTGGACTGATGAAACTAAAATAGTTATTTGGGCAGAGCAAGGTCCGTTATGCATGGAGGGAAAAGAACACAGCACTCCAAGAAAAACACCTGCTACCAACAGTAAAATGTGGTGGTGGTTCCATCATGCTGTGGGGCTGTGTGGCCAGTACAGGGACTGGGAATGTTATTAAAGTTGAGGGACGCATGGATTCCAATCAATATCAMCAGATTCTGGAGACCAATGTCCAGGAATCAGTGACAAAGCTGAAGCTGCTGAAGCCGGGGGCTGGATCTTCCAACAAGACAACCACCCTAAACACTGCTCAACATCTACTAAGACCTTCATGCAGAGGAACAAGTACAAAGATCTGGAATGACCATCTCAGTCCCCAGACCTGAATATTATTGAAAATCTGTGGTGACACTTAAAGAGAGCTGTCCATGCTCAGAAACCATCAAACCTGAATGAACTAGAGATGTTTTGTAAAGAAGAATGGTCCAAAACATAGATGCCGCGAGCGCCACCTTGAGAGTCTCAAAAGAACAACAGTTTTTAACTTTGGGCCGCAGAGGGCCGTGGGACTGCATTGATTTTGAACACTATGCAATACAATATCTCCCCACTTGTAGCAGTAGTGCGCCACTCAGATGTTTAACAACTTTTTAATATGTAGAAGAAGAACCTTAGAAACC